GCACCCGCATAATATATGTGAACCTTCCTTAGGTGTGAGAGTGTTGGGTTCTCAAGCCACATACTCCTAAGGTGATGGTAACATTAAAACTAGGCTAAGGCCTGGACTTATTCTGTCATTTTGGAAGATTTCATTCACTTAAGGAAAAATTCCCCTCCACCCTGGTTTTTAATTTTTTTTTCTTTCTGAGACAGGGTCTTGCTGAGACCCTGACTGCGGTGTAGAGGTCATCTCACTGCATGCAGCTTCTTAACTCTTGGGCTCACCTGATCCTTCCATTTTAGCCTTTCAAGTAGCTGGGACTACAAGCGCACACCACCACACCTGGTTAATTTTTGTGTCTTGTTTGGTAGAGATGGGGTCTCACCATGTTGCCTAAGCTAATCTCAAACTCCTGGCCCAAGGGATCTTCCTGCCTTGGCCTCCCAGAGTGCTGGGATACTAAATTGTCTATTTTTTTTTGAGACGGAGTTTCACTCTTATTGCCCACACTAGAGTGCAATGGTGCGATCTCAGCTCACTGCAACCTCCACCTCCCGGGTTCAAGTGACTCTCCTGCCTCAGCGTCCGGAGGAGCTGGGATTACAGGCATGCAGCACCACACCCAGCTAATTTTGTATTGTTAGTAGAGACAGGTTTCTCCATGATGGTCAGGCTAGTATCGAACTCCTGACCTCAGGTGAGCCACCTGCCTTGGTTTCCCAAAGGGCTTGGATTACAGGTGTGAGCCACGGTGCCTGGTCTAATTGTCTTTCTTAATTAGTCTTTTTTGTTGTTGAATTTTTTAAAATTGTGCTAAGATTCATATTACATAAAATCTACCATCTTAGCCATTTTTAAAAGTATGGTTTAGTAGTGTTAAACATATTTAAATTCCAGAACTCTTTTTATCTCGCAAACCTCAAACTGTATCCATCAAAGAGTGACTCCGTGATTTTCCCTCCCCTCAGCATCTGGCAACCACCATTCTGGGTACCTGTTACAAGTAGAATCATACAGTTCTTGGTTTTTGGAGACTGGTTTATTATCATTTAGCATAATGTCTTCAAGGTTCACCCATGTTGTGCCATGTGTCATAATTTCCTTCCTTTTTAATGTTGAATGATATTCATTGATAAGTATGTATCACATTTTGTTTATCCATTTATCCATTGATGGATACTTGGATTGCTTCCACCTTTTGGCTCTTGTGAATAATGCTGCCATGAACAAGGGAAAGGATATGTTTAGTTTTTCTTAATATTCTTAACACTTCGGTGCCCTCTACTATTACTACTAGGCACTAGTAGATATATTAACGCTGTTGGTAACATTTGGAATTCTGGCATTTACACTTTTCCTTGGTGTTCCACAAAGCCCCACGAGTTCCACTGTGCGTGTTTCCTGAACAAGTTTCAGATCCAGTGTGTAGATGGGATGTTTCTTAGCAAGACTCAGATTCCTAGGTTCTCCGGGAATGTTGGAGGTCAGGCACACTAGACCCCTGTTCCTGCAGGGCAGTGATCAGTGGAGGAGTGGCCTCCCTTCCTGGATATATGTGTTCTGCCCACCAGTCAGCACCATCTCATATTGTCCTATAGCTGACCTACTGCCCTGTTGACCACCTGCTTGGCCCCAAAGCCTGTTGAGTTTGCAAAATGTGAAAGCTCTCAGGTAATTTGTATGGCCTATTAGGGAAACCTGCAGTCCTTTCCAAAAGAGGAGTTGGGAATATGACTGCTTTGTAGATGGATGTCCTAGGATTCTGGGTGAAAATTCTTAATTCCCCTCATGTAGGAATGCCACAGAGTGTACCTTTTTGACTTAGTACTTTCCTAGTAAAATAGGCCTTTCTTAGGAAAATGACTACAAAGTCAGATGCATGTAAATGCTTTCAGCAAGGGTTGATTGATCACCTGCTATAGGCTGGACCCTATGTTAGGTACCTGGGGATTCCCTTCTAGTACCTGTGTTCCCAGAGAGTTGAATCCTGGTCCCCCACATGACTTTTGATGATATTCACACTGTTAATTCCAAGAAAGGCAGAGTAGAGAGATTCTGTACATGAAAGGAGTAGCATAAAGTTGCTGATTTTTAAAAAGTTTTATAAATAATCAGTCTTTTCACTTTCAGATGGGAATAATGTGTTTTTTGGTTTGCTTTATTGTTGTTATCCTAATTTTGTGGCAGTTCTAATTTACATTAGAAGAACTAATGTTAATGCTATCCGGTGATGGAGAAAGTTTATATTTGTGTTGTTTTCAGTTACTTACTTTAGTTATCTTTTTTGGTGAGTCTTATGATGGGCATTATTGGAATAGAATGGAATATAAACTTTGAAAAAAAAAAGATCTGTTGCATTTTGTCTAGACTATGCAGTTACCCAGTGGATCACTACTGAATGGAACAGGGAAATGAGAGATTCTTGGGCCTCAAATATTGCTCTTCTCTGGAACTGGTCATTCGCTAGAACAGTGTCCCTGTGTATCCTTTCTATCAGGTCTTCTCACACAACACAAATCTTGCTGCCTTGGTTGCATCTGTTAAACAAATCAGTTCGTTACATTGATGACACTTGTATATTGTACAGAATTATGTGTATGTGTGTGTGTGTGTGTGTTTGCCGAATCTGGAAGCTTGTGACTATCTGAAGCTCTTCTTTTAATACCTTTTGAAGTTCAGCAAGGATCAGAACCCAGCATGCCCCAAGAATGCACAGTGTTTTTTGAAAGTGTGCTCTTTCCTTTTGTTCCTAATCAGTAATTACATGCCCCTAATCGTACCCTCTGGCGCAGATGCGGAAGTCAAAAGATGCAGGAGGAATTAGCGAGGCGGACACAGGCTCGCAGCAGTGGTGGGCTGAACACAATAGCACAGGGACTAATGCAGTTGCTGCTGGAAGCACTTTATTCCTATCACTGACCCTCTCCGTTCCTTATGTGTCATGGATGGGGTGCTCCTCCTCCTTTAAACCATTTATGTTTAAAGAAGCTTCTGGGCCAACAGGGCTTTTTGATTTTTGTGGAATGGTGAGAAGTCAGAAAGAGAAAGACTGAAACTGACACAATATCCCTCTCAGTGCCTCTGCAGGGACTGAACTCAGTGGCTGTCATGTAACTACAACATAGGCTCGCTTTCATTAAATATTGTCTGTTTCTCTAGTCTGGGTGTTTTCCTTGCATATTAGTTCTGAGTTCTGAGTGCTAAACAACAAAAGGTGTCTTTGACCAGATAAGGTGGCAAATGTTGTTAAACATACCTCAAGAAGTTTCAGTATTTTTCCCAAGAATGATGTCAGAGTTAGGCTTTGCTAGTGCTGCCCTGCATGTGGCTGGCCAAAAAAAATGTCAGTGGAACTCTACTTCTGTTACAAGTATTATTCCTGTTTATAACTTGAGATGATTTTATTAGATGGTTGGAAAGTGTTTGTATTAACCCATTAGCATACTTGGAGTATTCCATCTCTGTATTTGTGTTACAACTCCTTTGATTGAACTATTATTTTCTAATTATTTTTAATCAAGAAATGAACCTGACTAAATGCAAAATTAAGTCAACACACCTACACAGAGAATTCCAAGGAGCTAAGTAGCTTTTGAATATACAACTCTGTGTATGCAGGCACAGTGGTCAAAGTGTGAGATGGAGGACCCTGAGACCCTTTCAAGGGTCCATGAAGGTGAATGTATTGTCATCATAATACTGAGACATTATTTGCCCTTTTTGCTGTGTTGATACTTGCACTGCTTACGCAAAAGCCAAAGTGGAGAAAACTTCTGACCTTTAGCAGGAATCCAGGTGGTAGCAGCAAACTATAGTAGTAGTCATTGCATTATTCACCTCCGTGCACTCAATTTAAAATGTCAGTTTCACATAAGAATGTTTTGATGAAACAGTAAAAATCATTAAATCTCGACTGTTAAGGACATCTTGTTAATATACCGCATGATGAAAAAGTACATGTAAAGCATTTTTGCATAACCAAGTGCAATGATCATCTGGTCAGCTGAAGGAAAAGGTCTCATGCAGTGGGACTATGTCCAAGGCCAGAAAGAACTGCAAAGAAATCTTGAACTGCACTGTTTGTTTTTGATGGTGTCAGTTTGGCACTGTTTTGTGTTTATTGTAGATAGAGCACCACATGGATAAATATATTTAAAATGTTGGGAATCAAGGGTTTTCCTTGTGGTAGAATGGCGATGCTAATGTGGGATGAGGGAGCAGAGGAAGAAGCATCCATGTTGGATTTGAATTCACAGCATCACCATCAACTTGTGATTTATGTATTTACAGTATCCTTGCTCTGCCCAAAGAGCCTAAAAGCAATGATATTTCATTAACAAAGAGATACGTCGTGTTCTCCGAACTTGGTTTTTAAAAGCCATTTCCAAGAAAGGTTCCAGGGCTCCTTGGAGAAATGGCTGATTTGAAGTCTGGGACAGGAAATGCACACGGTTAGCTGGCCATGCCTGTAGTGTAGAAAGCAGGTGTTGAAAGACCCCTAGTGCCATGTCAGAAGGACCGAGGATGACTTAAAGGAGCTCCCAATGAGCAAATTTGGGACAGCCAGAAAGAAGTATGACAGTATGAATTTTAACACATTGAAGAATAATGTTAAAAAAATCCATGGATATACATGGTAGAAGAAAAGGGGGAGAGTGAAAGAAACACTGTGTTATACAAGAATGCCAGCTACTTTATAAAGGAGAGAGAGAATTTGAAACTTACTATTTTGTAGCCCGTTAACATAGTAATTGATTCAGGGGTGCACTGGCTCACGCCTGTAATCCTAGCACGTTGGGAGGCTGAAGTGAGATCACTTGAGGCAAGGAATTTGAGACCAGCCTGGGTAACACAGACCCTTGTCTTTATTAAAATAAAAAACTAAAAAAAAATTGTCAGTGGATGTTCAAACTGTTGAGTGCGATGTTATTACGGAGAAGGATATTCACAGAATCTCAAGTATCACTGCATATTCCTTATTAGTAACAAAAGAGAAAACTTGTCCTTTTTTTTTTAAGTGAAGAAGAATTCAGGCTGATTCCACCTTAACTTGTTGACCAAACAGCAGCACCGCTAAAAAAAGAGACAGCCAGACCTTACATGCTTTCCAAAGGAAGAACGTCTACAAACACTTAAGCAGTCTTGGCAAAAGCAAGCAAACTAGAAGTGAGCCTCCAGATTGAACTCCCAAATTATAGAAAACCCAAATGAGCCTGTTAAACACCACCTTGGGCTGCAAAAAAAAAAAAAAATAACTTCAGACTTGGGCAAACTTCACAGTCAAATTACCCAGTTTCTTCGCAAATAAACTGCAAGAGAAAAATAAAGGAGCGATGAGAAGAGATTTATGAGCCATGTTGATCAGTGTGTGACTCTTACTTGGATCATGATGCAGATAAACTCAGCTTTTAAAAAATGAGGCAGAAGAATTGTGAACACAGACTGCGCATTTGATGATGCTGCGGAGTGACATGGTACTGTGTCTACGGTTGCTTCACAAGAATTTGGAAGAAGAGGGGTTGGGTTGGGATACAGGGGAAGCATAGTTAGCCATGGGCAGATTAATTACTGGGAGGATCAATGTGTGCTCATTAAAATATCCCGTCTACTTTTGAAATATCTTTGAAAGTTTTTACAATGAAAAATGTCTTAAAGTTGCGAATTAATAGTGGAATAACTTGACATTTTGTGCCTGCTTATGCAGTGCATTGAGAAGTACATGTCACCTACGTAGAATTGGTGCCAAAAATATGTAACCTGAGTCTAATCATGAGGAAACACTCAGATAAGCTCAAAATACATGACATTCTACAAGGCAGTTGTCGTGGTCTAAGAAAAAGTCAGTGTTGTGAAAAACAGCAAAAAAACAATGTCATAAAAATCAAATGCAATACAAAACCTTGCTTGTCTGGCTCTTACTGTCTCCAAAAGTTATAAAAGACATTTTGGAAATAGTTGCAGATATTAAAATGTAGAATTACAGTAACTCATGCTATTAAATTATGTTAATGTTTACTGTACCAAACATTAACATTGGTTCTGTGGGTGCTATAGGAGAATGTCCTCATCCTTGTGAGATACATGCTGAATTATATTAGGACCAATCAATACAGTATCTGCAAATTACTTTAATCAGTGTGGATATATATGGATGAGGTTGGCTCCTATTAAATGCTGTTTTCGTAGGTTCAAAACAGCCAAATATCATCACATGCCCATGGTTTAACTTAATATTTGGTGAAACAGAGAAAGAAGGCAAATGCAGTGACAAATAGTGGCTCTAGATAATGAATTGACAGGTGTTTGTACTATTTTTTTCACCCTTCTGTGTGTTTAACTTTTTTAAAACAAATATTTGGGAGAAAATAGTCAACTTAAAAAAATGAACTCCAGCAGACACATATTTGTGGATCAGGTGTGCTGACAACGTCCCCTCTGGGGTCAGTCATCCCCTAATAGCAATTAAATTCTCTTAGAATTCATTTCCAACTACTTAAGTTGACTTACAGTATTGAAGAGAAGGAAAGCTACTTATTTCATTGTATGAACTTTCTACTTTCTGAGTCAGCCTATGACAAAGAAGAGAAAAATAAATAATATAGGTGAACATTAAGAAAAGAGCTTAATCATATTTTATGGTAACCTTTTTATGTCGATGACATTTAAAGACGTATCCACTGTGGGAGAGAAAAAGAGATCATTGGTTCTCAGAAAATTTTTTATTTTTGTCAAGAGATCAAAAATGTCTTCTCTCTGGCCTGGTATTAACATTCTCTTTAAAATAGGATGTATGTCTGGAATTTTAAGTTTTATCTCCCTCTCTACACACCCCTTATTTTGCCATGAGGTCTTAGCTGAAGTGTGTTTTACTCAGGGTGACTGGGGACTTCTGGGCGACCATGGCAGTTACATGAAGTGGTGAGATCTCTACTGCCCTCCAGAAAATGTCCTGAAGTGATTACCAAGAACTCCTGGTTTAATCCCGCCTCTTTTGAATCCAAAACAGATCCCTAAAGAAGTGGCTGATATCTTTAACGCCCCCAGTGATGATGAAGAGTTCGAGGGCTTCCGAGATGATGTTCCCATGGAAACCCTCTCGTCAGAGGAGAGCTGCGATAGTTTTGACTCACTGGAGTCAGGGAAACAGGTATGGATGCTTCCTTCCAAGCAGATGTGTTCATCTGGAAGCCTGAATCTTGGTTTGGATGTTCCTTTATTTGAACATAGTGTGAGGTTGGTGAAATCAGTTTATTGTCTAGCATTTTATTTTAGAAATGTTATGCCTTCCTATTTTAAAAAAAAATGGTGAGAGAACCTAGTTCACTCTGCTGTGTTAATCCTTTTCCGTACCATAAATCAGGGATTTTTTTTTAAATAAAGGGACCTCACATGATCAAGTGCATTTTCTTGGCTGCCTCGGGGCTGTAACCTGCAGCGTCGCTGTGTTCAGAGTCTGCCCACAGAGGGAGACTGCGGCAAGCCATGGGGGATCGTGTGGTTACTGGGAGACAGTTGCATCTCTCTGGTCCTGCGGGGCAATTCTGTTGGCACGCCACTCTTGAAATTGCTGGGGAGAGCCTTATTCTTGCGTTAATGACTTTGATTTCTAGCACGCACAAGTTAACAGTTCTCTGAGAAGTAGATTCCTGGAGGTTCACATTGTGTCCTAGTAGTAGAATGGCCAATCAGAATCTACCCTTCGGTGGCATTTTCTTCTGAGTTGATTGCGGCACTCAGAAGTCCTCATTCTCCTTTGACCATGGCTTCTCCAAAAAGGCAGCAAATTAAGCCCACCTTGCTTCTACCCAGCAAGTACCGGAAGAAGCAGTGAATTTTATGTAAGTGAAGTACCCGCTGAATTGTGCGAGACATTGTAAGTTCTGGCCTGGGTGGGAGCTGTGCTCTCTGAGATCACCAGGGGCTCCCTGGTCTCTGGCCATCTGGGTCTCATTTAACATCTCCACAGCAGTTGATCCTACTAGCCACGTCCTTCTAACCCTCTGAGTTACTTCCTCTCTGTTACACACCTTTTGCTTTTTTTTCTTTCTTTCTGAGACAAAGTCTTGCCCTGTTGCCCAGGCTGGAGTGCAGTGGCATGATCTTAGCTCACTGCAACTTCCGCCTCCCAGGTTCAAGCAATTCTTCTTGACCCAGCCTCCTGAGTAGCTGGGATTGCAGGCGTGTGCCACTACACCTGGCTAGTTTTTGTATTTTTTTAGTAGAGACAGGGTTTCACCATGTTGGCCAGGCTGATTTTGAACTCCTGACCTCAGGTGATCTGCCTGCCTTGGCCTCCCAAAGTGCTGGGATTACAGGCGTGAGCCACTGCACCTAGCCTGCTCTTTGTTAATGTCGCTTGTTTTTCCTGACCCTAAATGCGGATGTTCTCTAAGGTTTTGTCTTTAATCTTCTTACTTAGCCATCTTGTCTGTTGTCTTGCTTTGAGCTGGCACTGCATTTTGTGGAGCTTGTCTTCTCTCTCCAGCCTCTGGTGGTTTCTGACTACCAGTTGGACTGGTTGCTAAGGGAGATCTGAAACTCAATTTTCCTTCCCTTGGTTGTCTTTCTGGCTTCCCCCTTTCCCCGTCTTGATCTCCGTCTTTTGTTGTTCTTGACCCTCCTTCCCCTCTTCCACTTCCCCAGCAGTTGTCCAGGAGTTGATGAAACTTCTGCTGTGTTCCTCGTGTTCATCCTTCCCTTCCCTCTGCAGCTGCGGAAGCCCTTGTAGCTCTTACCTAAATGCTCATTCCTTCCTACTAGGATCTGTTACAGGACTGAGCTCCAGTCAGCTCCTCCCTTCCTCAGAGATTGCCCAGCCCTACGACTAATCACAGTGAGGCAGTGGGGAGAGTAGCGCCTGCAGGATCCACCTTGAGGAGCATTTGAGCAGGGCAGAACATGTCTAAAGTGCTAAACGCAGAGCCTGGCAGGCACCAGGCATTAAGAAACAGAACAGCTGCTTCTGCTGCTATGATGACTGCTTTTGGAGTCAGGTCTGTCCTCCCCAGGGAGGAAAGTATGCCACCTGCTTTTCATACAGATACTACATTTAATCCACAGACCTCCAAGGAAGCTGCCAGTGTTGTTACTATCCCCATTTTGCAAGTGCTGAAACTGAAGTTCAGGACGGTAAAATGACTTGCCCAAGGCCCCACATCTGGGAAGAAGCCAGCTGGGATGTTCCAAATCCAGGGCCGCCACTTCCCAGCCTCTTACCCTGCGGGGCCTCTTTCCTACCTGCTATGCTACAGGGCACAGGAACTGCACTGACATTCTCATTATCCACTGTTCTGCCCTTTCTGCCCACCGGTCCATGCTGTGTTCTTCCTGCCTGTCTGCTGTCACCATTTTTCTAGGCTCTACCCTGGCTCACATCCAGTTATTGCTACTTCTCCCATGAAGTCTTACTGGGTTTTCTTTCCCTCCGTGTGCTGTATTGCTTGAGTATCCCTTAAAGCACTGACCCTCACCAGGGTTATTCGTGGACCGGTCTGCCTCCCTCTTAGACTGTAAACTCTTTGAAGAAGAGGGGACTCATACTAGAATGGTGCTTTCTAGCTTCCCTGGCTCTGACTTTTTGTCCTCATGTATCGTCCCTTTCCTCTCGTTTCAGGCTCCACCTGACTGTATACAGTGAGCACAGAGGGGGTTTTGTTTGCAGGGTGCAGTCGAAATAGGGTGCTTGTCTGCTTGTCTGGTTCAGCAGGCCATTGCTCTCCAGTCTGTTTCTTCTTGTCAGATGGGCTTCAAAATAAAAAGTTTACCCACCTAGGTTAACTTTTCCTCTGATGTGTTATTTGCTTATGGTCCTGATCATGGTAGATGACCAAGACCCATAGCATAGTGCCCAGAATTGATTTTGAAGGAGAATCAACCAGTGCCAGAGAGCACCTAGCAGTGCAAGGGTTTGTAACTAAGAATGCAGTGGAACACTGTAGAGTGGAGATTGATGTCATATAGACCCATGTGAAAAACAGTGTTTACACACTTTGGAGTAAAGAAACTATAGTCCTCAGTTCACGACAACGGTAAGTTATTTTTCTCTATCAGGACTGACCATCATCTCCCAGGCTGCCTATTGCCCTGTGAGGCCAGCACACAGGGCTGAAAGAACCAGAAAAAAATGGAAGACGGGAACTCACTGCTTCAAGGCTTGCTCTGTTCTCTTCAGGGCCCAGGCAGGGGCTTTAAGTAGTTGATGACATTTACACACAGAAATACAGCTCCAAATCAGCCTGCAAGGGCTGCCCAGGGCTCTGTGAGCCAGATGTTTCTTGCACTGAGAGGCCTCAGGTACGTGGTGGGTTTCCTTAGCAGCAGCTGTATACCATTCTTCCTTAATAATCAAGCCCTGGCCTGCTACTTCTCTACCTTGACCCCACACGCACAAGATCCATTTAACCAACAGAAGCTGTGTGAACTTACACACAGCATGCGTCTGCTAACTCTGGTCTCCCTTAAATACGATTTGAATTTCACTTTAAAGAAACTTCGCTTTTGTATGTGCAGTTTTTTTTCAAGCAGCTGCGCTACAGCTATCAACAAAAGAACAAAGTAATTTAGCTCTGAGCAGACTCACTCCAATTACCCATAATAATTCATAGGAGACATTTTTAAGCGTACAGAATGCTAGATGGAGACATTTCTTTCTGTTTGCCCCTGTAAGTTTTTCTACTTGTCCATTATATCTGTTTTTCTCCAGAGATATATGAGCTTGAAGAAGTCTATAATTACAGCTGAGGAAAGGCAGGGGGGAGATACAGATTCTCAGCCAAGTGTGGTGGTAAGGGGGTCACTGCTACATCAGGGATGGCGGGGAAGAGGTGGCAAAGGAAACTGGGGACAGACTCGAGCCCTGATGAGGCGTGGCAGCCTGGCAGGAGGCTGGTCTCGCAGGTCTCCTGTTGGCCTGCAGTTTGTTCTTTTTTTTCAAGCATACTATTAAGAGAGCTGGGTTTCCTTCTTTGCACTATTTCAAAAGAAAGAAAAAGTCATTATTAGAAAATGCCTTTTCTTAAAGAGTCACATTGCATCTTTCCTTCTGCTCACTTGACAGCTTGCCATGGTTGCTCACCTCTCACCTCATGCAGAAGAGAAATTCCTGGGGGTGACCTTGGGTGAGCTTTCCATCAGGTGTGTCTGGTCATGGAGCAAGTCTAGGCTCTGGTGGTGGGTAGTGAGGGCTGGGAGAGGACCCAGCCTTTTCCTACAGGGAAACTCGCTGTTGGTGAAGGGGAGGCATGCTCACCCACTTGGAGGAGACTCTGGCTTTGAAAGGCTGTTGGAAAGGGAAGCCAGCATGTGGGAGGGAGCCAGGTTTTCTCATGTCTTCTTTCCATGTGTTTTGGTTCTGTGTGAAAGCAGACGTTTCTGGTTGCCAGCTTTGGCAGAAGCTGAATTCCATGAGCACTTACCAGTTACATTAGAAGCTGATTGAGACTACACCCATGCTGATTTTTAAAAGCTGTCTGATTTGTAGGTCTGAATTTTGTAAGCTTTAGAAAATGTTTATATATATAAAATATACATGTATGTATATGGGTTTTTTGAGACAGGGTCTCTGTCACCCAGCCTGGAGTGACAGTGGTATGATCTCAGCTGCAACCCAGGCTGGAGGGCAACGGTGTGATCTCTGCTCACTGTAGCCTCGACCTCCCAGGTGTGGGTAATCCTCCCACCTTAGCCTCCTGAATAGCTGGGACTACAGGTACATGCCAATAGACCCAGCTAATTTTTGTATTTTTTGCAGAGATGAGATCTCACTATGTTGCTCAGGCTGGTCTTGAACTCCTGAGCTCAAGTGATCTGCCTGCCTCGGTCTCCCAAAGTGCTGGGATTACAGGCATGAGCCACTACACCGGGCTACTGTTTTCTTTTTGTTAATTGTGGTAAAGTATGCATAACATGAAATATACCATTTCAGCTGTTTTGAAGGTACTGTTCAGTGGCATTAATATTGACACTGTTGACCATCCATCTCAGAACATTTTCGTCATCTGCATCAGAAACTGCACCTGTTCAGTAGCTCCCCGTTCTCCCCTTCCCTGGTAACCTCTATTCTGCTTTCTGCCTCTGATGTATGTGTGTGTTTAATTTAGCAGGATATGCGCTTTCATTCCAAATACTTCACGGAAGAGCTAAGAAGAATTTTTATAGAGGACACTGACTCAGAGACTGAGGATTTTACAGGATTTACACAGAGTGATCTGAATGGAAAGACTAACCCAGAAGTAATGGTAATAATTAAAACGGAAGGATGTGGGTGGTGATGTTTGTCATCCTGTTTCTGCATTAGAGTTTTACTTGTAAGAAGTCATTTCACAAATGAAAAGATTTTACTTTTTCTTACCTATCTTTCAAACTAATTAACATAACCTTAAAAAAAAACACTCCTAGAAGGCTAATCCCTGGTCCACCAGTCCATTATTCTCTTAGAGAAAATCTATTCATGTTCCCCTTGTTCCTGTGGGGCTTAGGGATGTGTCTCAGGCATCCTTTGTTGTCCTTCTCAAAATGAGCCATGCACGGTGGCTCATGGCTGTAATTTCAGCACTTTAGGGGGCCGTGGTTGGTGGATCACCTGAGGTCAGGAGTTCAAGACGAGGTTGACCAATATGGTGAAAGCGTGTCTGTACTCAAAATACAAAAATTAGCCGGGCATGGTGGCGAGTACCTGTAGTCCCAGCTACACGGGAGGCTGAGGCAGGAGAATCGCTTGAACCTGAGAGGTAGAGGTTGCAGTGAGCTGAGAGTACGCCACTGCACTCCAGCCTGCATGAAAGAGCAAGACTCCATCTCAAAAAAAAATTAAAAGAATTTATCTCAGAGTTTTCTTGAGATTCTTACTGTGTGTGAAGTGATAGTTTTTGGTTTGAAGTCAGTGTGGCAAAAATTTGGTGTGGTACAAACTTGGTGTTCCCCGTGTACTGTGGATTTGGATTTGTCATGCTTTGTAGTGTTAAAAATCACCTGCCTGGATTCTGGAGGGAAGTCTACTCTCAGCACTTCCTATGAGCAGACTTATTAGTTGATCTCTTCATGTTATTTTGCACAGTTAGGCTAGTTGACTGCCAAGTTGTGTTTGAATCTTAAGGTAACTTTAAGGCACAGCCTTTGGATTTAAGAAAAGAAATGTACTTATGCTAACTAAAAATAGCACACATTTATGCAAAAAAACAAAACAAAACATGCTACTTTCTTCTTCAGTATGAAGATGGAACGTAGAGTTTAAGCTTCTTCACAGCCAGAAGCTGCTTAGGACTAACTTTTGGCCCAGAGCCTGTATAGAGGTATAAACAAGCTGTGACTCCTAGGCTGGCCTTGTCCCTCACCTGTCCTAGGAGAGGACTTAGAGTATAAAAGCCCTCATGGTAGGTTGCTTCGTGTGATGGTGACTTTTTGCCATGAGTAGCAACATAGAATTGGGCTAGCTCGGAGACCCCAGCTCTCCTTTGGCTTCCTTTGCAGAAGCTGTTTGTGTGGCAGTTCATTGGTTCCGGCCAGAAAGTCCTCAGTTTCTTGCAGCAAGATATTAAGATCCTTCTAAACCCCTAATGGGCATTATGTCTTAGCGACCTACTTGTCTTCTGTTCTTTAGTGAAGTGATGTCTGGTTATTTGAAGCATTTGTGTTTCTAGTGAGAGAAAATGAATTACCCCAGAAGTCTTCCCTCCCACCTGCCCCCATGTCTGTGGACTGTGATGTGTTACATAGATCATGATATGGCGTACGGTTCAGCACAGGCCCCTGCAAATTTTATTTTAGAATCCAGTGAGAAGAAAAGCATGGTTGCCTCCCAGCCCAACCTCCTGCCCACCCTTGTGGGAACTGGAGAGACCATCTTTCTTGCTAAATGGGATATTGCTGTCACCTTGGTTTCCAGGGATCTGTGGTCCGGATGTGACATAGCCACATCCACGTGCTAGACTGTGCTTTACTCTCAGGTCTGATTCTGGGCTGCTGTGGACAGTTTGTTCTTCCCTTCCTCCAGGCCTCTGTAGTGAGCTGTTCCACTTCTGTCTGTGGTAAAGAGAGGCCTGTCGATGATAAGGATGGAAGATAAATGGATCAAAGCTGAAGTTCTTCCCTGACAGTGTCCCCTAAAATTGGGTTCCTTTGCACTACACTATTTTGAATTCTGAAGCTACTAATGTGGAAAGGTCAGGGTATTAAAGAAATAGAAAAATCAGTGCTGTATAGTCTTATTTCTCCCTAGGCTTTGTGTGGCTATACCAGAGTTGGCAGTCATCTGCATTTTCTTTCTCCCTCTGTCTTATTTCTAACTTTAGTCCAGCTAGAATTTGGCGGGGGGGTGATGGTGGTCACTGGGGAGGAAGCAGAGTCCCTGAACTAAGTCCTGAGTCTGTCCTGCTGCTATTCCATGTTCTTCGTAGATTTTCGGAATTCCCAGATAGCGGTTTCTTAAGTTTTCTACCTTGTGGTCATGGAAAGATGCCTAGAAGATGTCCTGGATCTCACATACTTAAACCTGTCTCGGTACCACTGCTAAGTGTCTCATCACATGTCACTTAGGTGATGTGACCCTGTTACTGCCTTCCATACTTACTAAGTTCTCACTTGTAAAGTGGAGCAGTGTTTGAGTGCTGGAGACCTATACCATGTGGAACTTGAAAACTTAGAGGAGGATTTCTTGAGTTGACTAAGTGATGTGTTGCTACAACCTGTAGCTCTCTGACTTGATTTCACCCCATGGCTCTGAGGGTTCCAGAGAAGGGAAGGGTGCCCCTTGACTGAGGACCCAGTGGCAGGTCATCAGCCTGTCCTGGGTCACTGCCTTGAGGTGCAGTCAGCTCTCCTGCCCTCTTACTTGGAAGTTTGGTTCCTGCTATTTGAGGAGACCAGTCAGCACTTTTTCCCCTTAGCACCATTGCTTCTCTGCAGATCACATCTGTCGTGAATACCCTTTTCTGTGACTGTCTCTCCTCTTGCTGGTGCTCCTTGGTCTTCCCATGGTGGAGGAACCCACCCTGTCCGTGTTTGGCTTACAGCTGATGCTCCAAATGGACCCAGTTCTGTGCTGGGTTTGATGGTCCACAGTTCAGTTGTAGATTATTTCATTTTATTCATCAACCAATTTCTTGCACATTTAAAAGAAATTCAGAGGAAACTCAAAATTCGAAGGGGAATCTTTTCATTTCTCATGTTTTTTCTCATATACTACCAGAGTTGTTTTAAATGCATGTCTTTTTTGTTTGTCTGAAACGGTGTCTTTGTGCTTTTTCTTGCTCTTATTTTATTAGCTCGTGGAGTCAGATTTGAGTGACGACGGCAAAGCATCTTTGGTGAGTGAGGAAGAGGAAGATGAAGAAGATAAGGCTACCCCAAGAAGAAGCAGGTCTCGAAGAGGTAGTAGTATTGGTCTTCGAGTAGCCTTTCAGTTCCCCACCAAGAAGCTGGCCAACAAACCAGATAAAAACAGTTCTTCTGAGCAGCTGTTTTCTAGCTCATGCTTACAGAGTGAGAAAAAAGCAGTTCTTGGAAGAAAGAAAGGCCGTAGACAGGTGATACAAAGGGAAGATTCTACTTCTGAGTCTGAGGATGACTCTCGGGATGAGAGCCAGGAGAGTTCGGATGCTCTGCTGAAGAGGACCATGAACATCAAGGAGAACAAAGCCATGGTGAGGCTTGCGGGGGGGGCGCCCTGGGAGTGGGCTCCAGGCTCTGGCAGCAGTTGCTGGGCTCCCAGAACCACTTTGCTCCTATAGATGCTGTTGTTGCTTTGGCTTCTGTCAGGAAAATATACTCTGGGTATTGTGTATCCTTCTTCTTTTCCAGAACCCAAAGCAACTATTACATGATCAGCTCTGGTTTGCGAACAGAGAAACTCCCCAGGACCATTTTTAGCCCCTCCATGGTGCCATGAACTAATGCTGCTTACTCTTGACCAAGCTAAGTTCTGAGTGTATAGTGTGGTGTTGGGGATGAGATGGGCTGAACAACTGGCCTGTTCCCAGCAGAGTAAAGCAGGGGGAGTGGGATGTCACTGAGTCCATGGAGGAGTTGAAAGGAGCAGATTGGGCAGGTAGCTTTTCATCTAGAAACCACTCTTCTGTGGTGACTGGCCCTGGTTCTAAGGTATCTCAAGGAACGGAAGAGGTTTAGGAGTTAAAATGACCCCAACAGTGTTAATTTCCTCTAAAATGTCTTCATTAGAACAATTAATGGAACAAGGTGAAATCTTTGTTAATATATTTGGTTTTTCTGTATGTAATCAATTACTGTTAATCTGAACATTGTAGAGAATCATTGTTTGCTGCTTAATTGTTTACACAGAGTGTTTTTTTTTTTAGTTCTACCACTTACCACTTTTAGCATTTTGGTGTTTTTCTAATCTTTTCCTTTTAAAAAAAGAATGACAGTGATACTGTATATGTAAGCTAATATGTCTAATATAAATTACTTACAAAAATAGAACACCTACTTTTGGGTTAATTTTATCCTAAGAAACATTTTTACTTAGCTAAGGGAAATTTTCAGTGCTGTGTCCATCTGCATCTTTAAGAGCTGGCCAGGCGCGGTGGCTCACGCCAGTAATCCCAGCACTTTGGGAGGCCGAGGTAGGTGGATCACGAGGTCAAGAGATGAGACCATCCTGGCCAACATGGTGAAACCCCGTGTCTACTCAAAATACAAAAATTAGCTGGGCATCTTGGCGTGCATCTGTAGTCCCAGCTACTCGGGAGGCTGAGGCAGGAGAATCGCTGGAACCCAGGAGGTGGAGGTTGCGGTGAGCCAAGATCCACTGCACTCCAGCCTGGCGACAGGGCAAGACTCCTTCTCAAAAAAAAAAAAAAATTATATATAATTGTATAAACTAAAATGAATCCTAATTAAATTATCTGGCATATTGATGCCTCTTATTTGTTGTTATCCATTTAGGAATATGTTCATAAATTACTTTTATTGATGAGAAAATAACCTATTTAAAAAATCAGATTTTGGGAGCTCTAAATAACCACTGAAATAATCTAATTAAGCTTATTCTTTTTTGAACATCCTGAAACTTGAGACTAACTAACATGTACAAAATGAAATGATACCACCTTGGATTAGCCTTCAAGTCAGGTTTGGAATTTCATGCTCCAGGTCTGGATGATTTCAGGACTGTTTCATAGTGTTGTGTTGTCCTTATATGTAAGGAATACGCTAGTGTTCATTCACATGAATGATGACATCAGCATCACAGGTCTGGAGATAAAATCTTTACATGTGAGGTTAAAAGTGTAAGTGTTGTGGGTTACATAAACTATTCAAGTTAGGTTTCTTACTGTAGCGGAATGGAAGATTTGAGATAGGTGTTGGATGACCTAGCCCTGGAGCACTATTTATGTAAAATTCTTTCTTTTGTTCTGAACTTCAGCTTGCTCAGTTATTGGCGGAATTGAACTCAATGCCAGATTTCTTCCCAGTACGAACCCCGACCTCAGCTTCTGTAAGTATAACTCCTTATAATTATACCCATACTGATACATGGTGATAAGCCACCAGATAGCTTTTGTTCAAGAGAGTCCCCATTTGCTTCTGTCTATACTCTTGATTTCAGAGGAAGAAAACAGTGAGGCGGGCCTTCTCAGAGGGACAGATCACACGGCGCATGAACCCGACCCGGAGTGCGCGGCCTCCTGAGAAGTTTGCTCTAGAGAACTTCACTGTCTCAGCCGCCAAATTTGCAGAAGAGTTTTACAGTTTCCGAAGAAGGAAGACAATTAGTGGGGTATTTTCTGACTAATTGTGAATTAGTTTTGTCTGAGCCACTGTTCCTCCAAACGTGAATGCACATTGCTGTCACCCAGGGCTGGTTCTGATCCCATGGGTCTGCAGCAGCTGAGAACTTGCATTTCTATCTGGTTCCCAGGTGATGCCGTTGCTCCTGAGAGCACACTTGGAGAAGCAGTGCTGGTCTAAGCTGGTGGTCACAGAGAGAGCCTTTATCCAAACCGAGCTGAAAAGCAGCTCATTTGTTAGGATGCTGCTTTGATCTCTGCGGTAGGCAGTAAAGGCCTGTCCACAGCTCCAGTCAGCTTTGTGGTTTCCACTTTGTGGAAAAGTAGAGTGATTCCTCTTTGCTTTTCTATTTTAGGCATTAGACATTTCAAGTGCTTTTAATTTGGAGGGAAAAACTTTGGACCCATTTGTGGGTTTGGCTGTTCTGTGTGGTTCATCTCTCCACAGAATTCACAGCAAAGAACCAAAAACCTTGAGTTTCTCCTCTATGATTGTATTGCCTTGCTGAGAAGGAAGCTTGGCAGGTAGCAGAATCTCAGTAAATGCCGAAATGAAATGGCTGCAGGGAAATAGAAGAGGGACCGGGTTAACATGAATGGTGCTAGATCTTTGAGAGTTTAAAATGTTTATAATTTTTTATAACTGCTCAAAACAGCTCACTCTAGGTTCTGCTTGTGTTCATTGTGCAGGGGAAATGCCGGGAGTATAGACGACGTCACCGTGTATCTTCTTTTCGGCCAGTGGAGGATATCACTGAAGAGGACTTAGAAAATGTTGCCATAACTGTTCGAGATAAAATCTATGATAAAGTTCTGGTAAATTCTATATTATGAGTAATTTGCATGATTGCCATTCTTATTGGGAGTCTAAGGCATTGGTATTTGAAATCTCACATGTTTTTAAACTGGATAAGGGCTTATGCCATCTCACCAAGGGTTTAGAGCCAGGCTCTGAATTGGAGGGTCAAGGGTCAGCTGTCCCTGGGAAAAGGGGAGCAGCTTAGGGCAGTAATTCCCATTGGGACAGTGTGCTCTTATGGATGCATAGCACCTGGGGGGAAGGCAAGGGTATCGTTTAAAAGGGATTTTTATATGTAACTGTTATGGTTTAAATATTGTATATTTTATGTTTTAAATATTGAAAAAAGATAGTATATTTGGGGGTAACATAACTGTAGAAAATAAAGGTTGGCAGAATATCTTTGGTAGGAAACCGGTTAAATTTCCTCTAAATGGTGATTTAGAGGGAGGCTTTGTATTCTGCTTTTGTATGTGTTTTCTAGATAAGTAGTGTGACACTGTCTTAAGATAGTATTAAAATGCTTTACATTTAGTTGCCAATATTTAAAAAAAATAGATTTCACATTGAAGATATCCAGGTCTGCAGAGCTAAGGTGGAACCAAGGTGATGCCATCCAAGGCTCATTGCCACTTAGTCACCTGTCGGGCTCGGCCACCCCTGCCTTAAGCTTTTCCCTGGTCTCTCTTCCTGACAGTCTGATCATTTCATTCCTTCCCACTCTCTGCTCAGCCTCATCTGACCTCATGTGCTCCTTGGCCCTAGACCTGTGATGCTTACATTCTAGAGCAGTAGTCCCCAACCTTTTTGGCACGAGAGACCAGTTTTGTGAAAGACCATTTTTCCATGGGTTTGGGGGGACAGGGAGGGGATTCAGGATAAAACTGTTGCACCTCAGATCATCTGGCATTAGATTCTTAAAAGGGAGCACAACCTAGATCCCTTGTGTGTGCAATTCACAATAGGGTTTGTGATCCTATGACAAGCTAACACTGCCGCTGATCTGACAGGAGGCAGAGCTCAGCCAGTAATGCTCAGTCACCCGCTGCTCACTTCCTGCTGTGCATCTCAGTTCCAAACAGGCCACAGACTGGTACTAGCCCGAGGGCTGGGGACCCCTGGTCTAGAGACAATGCTATGGTTCTTATTAGGAAAGCAGTCCTGCTTAATTTGAGGAGACAGGTGTTTCTTCATGCACTTGGTAATGCACATGATGGCATCTGGCCTGAAATGGGCATAGCATATCCCTGAGTTCACCTGCTCACTGCCTTCACCCTCTAGGGTAACACATGCCATCAGTGTCGACAGAAGACCATCGACACCAAGACGGTGTGTCGGAACCAGGGTTGTGGTGGTGTGCGGGGACAGTTCTGTGGACCATGCCTGCGGAACCGCTATGGGGAGGATGTCAGATCAGCATTGCTGGACCCGGTAGGTACAGTGTTTGTATTTGTCATAAATTGTATGGGCGAAGGAAGCAAGCCGAAGATGGGGCTTCTGGGCTCTCACTGGGAACTGGGAGCTCCAGAACTTGGGTTTTTTGCCTTCCATCTGTATCTTAAGGCTCCAGGGAAAATGAAAAATAGGGACTCCTAGAAGGAGAGCAAGCTGACCAGTGAATATAGTTTGTTAAGATTTTCCATTGTCAGAACAAAACTTGGTTACAGTTGTCTAGCTTTGTACAAGTAATCCCGGTACCCTTCCTTGAGCAAAGTGATTTCCCTCTGATTTTATTTTCTGGGCCAGGCTGAGACGGGTGTAGATTGCGGTATAGACCATGTTCTGTGTGCCCCGCACTGTGCAAGGTGTTGCTCACTCCATCATAAATCTTTAATCCTGTGAAATAGGTGTATAACTCCTCTCTGCCTCAGCTCCCTCAGTAAAATGAGACATAGTATCAGTTAATAAGCATGACCTTGAGCCTGGGGCAGTCCTGCTACCAAGTATGACCTCTCAGGCAACAGTCATGGGGTAAGTATATCATCCTCAATTGACAGACGAACGTAAATTACAGCTCAAGTCAGGTTAGTCATTCAACAAGCACACATATTGGAAGGGCTGAAATTCACACCTCGATCTTTTGGAAACCTTGTGCTCCTAAACCATGGCTGACATTCTGGGCTGTGACCTGCACACTCACACAGAGCCCTGTGCTTGGCCAAATGCTGGTGAAATTCTCCATAAGTTTTAAGCAGGGGGCCCTGAAACCCATTGTTTTTCAGTGTTTGCATGTGACATGGGGTGATGAGCCTTCTTGCCTCATGAGGAGCTCCCTGGGGCATAGACTGAAAGATGCCATGTGATTAAAAGTTGGGGGAGAGGGCAGTTGAGCCAGTCTGGATCCAAATCTCAGTTCTGGTCAAAGCCTGCAGATAGTGAGGAAAGTGTCTGCTGTCATCTCTCTGTTAGGATTGGGTGTGTCCTCCCTGTCGTGGGATCTGCAATTGCAGCTACTGTCGGAAGCGTGATGGCCGTTGTGCCACAGGGATCCTCATTCATCTGGCGAAGTTTTATGGTTATAACAATGTTAAGGAATATCTGGAGAGGTAAGTCTAGCGGTTGACAGATCTTGAAATCCCCAGGCCGAGCATGGGAGACCCTCTTGGACCCATTTTTATAAAGCACGAGTGCCATTCTGCATCTGTTTGCATTGGAGAAGCTCAGGCCTGATATTTTCCCTAGTAGGGAATATTCTCCTTTGCTAGATTTTTCAACTCCACGTGGCCTTTAACCAAGACTTTTTCTTGAGGTGTCTGTCAGAAATGGAAGGAGTGAACAAGGCAGGCTAAGGAGAAATGGCAGAGTCTATGAAGAGCCAGAGGCAGCCATAACCCTAATGCACAGAGAAAGTTGAGGCAGTGTGCACTTCAGGGTGAGGAGACGGAATGTGAGTGTGCGGGAAGTCGTGCTTAGGGCATACTCGACTGGAGGGTGTCCTGTTAGTGATGCTTAGAATGTCAGGAGATCTGGGTTCTGGCTTTGTACTCTAAGATGATTGTGGACTCTCTCCAGCCTAGAATGCTGCCTTTGGATTTGTCCTACTTACCAAATACTTCTCATCTTTTCCTCAGCTTACAGAAGCAGCTGGTAGAAGACAATTAAGAGGAAAATGGAACTAGCCACCTCGCCATAGACGACTCCAGTGAGACATGCATACCATTTGTGCCTAAGATTTTTTACAGTTGTGTTTTTATATAGAAATTCTTCATAGAGATTACTGTTTCTAAATACTATTTTTTAAAAAGATTGTTTATATGCTTACAGAGATTTCTCAGGAAGACAACAGAGCAGAGGAATCTATATAGTTGTATACACAGACCTGTTTGTTTGTATGCTGTATTTTGTTAAAAGTATCTGCCAATGATTAAAAAGCACAATTTAAACTTTAAACAGAGTGGAGTTAAAGTTCAGGTAAGTTAGAAAGCATTGTATGAGCAGCTCCTGATGATCTTTCACTTCCCAGACAGTAACTCCAGGCCAAGTTTGAACAGGGGTCCTATATCCTTTAGTTTGCTGTAGCATGAGTGACCACAGTTCAGCACACCACAGGTACCATTTAACCTGCTCTGGGTCATTGGAAATTTATACTGAACAAAGTGCAGTTTAACCACAGAACATGAGTACTACAGTTTTATTGTTATTAAAAGTTGACGGAACAGAAGGGGACCATCAATGTTGTAGACACTGGAGGGCTCGGGGTACCAGCCTTTATCTTCAGGACTCACCTGGGGCCTGCTGCTTCTATATTTTGAAAAGAATATAGGGGGTAATAATTTTTAATTTAATTTCCTGTTTAAAAGTCCCCCTTCTTTTTTTTGTGGCTGCATTGCTTTTTTTAGTTGTATATTTAGATGTACTTATGGAGTCTCATTCTGTCCCCTAAGCTGGAGTGCAGTGGCACCATCTCAGGTCACTGCAACCTACCAGTTTCATGTGATTCTTTTGCCTCAGCCTCCGCATAGCTGGGATTACAGTTACATGCCACGCTAATTTTTTGTGAATACAGGGTTTCACCATGTTAGCCAGGATTGTCTCGAACTCCTGACCAAGTGCTGGTATTACAGGCGTGAGCCACCGTGCCTGGCCTCAGATGTACTTTTTTGTCTTGAGGGAGCTATGGGGTTTTAGAGGGAAAGCTACAATGGACATAGATTCGGTCTCTACTATTTTTTCTGCATTTGCTGATTTTTCTCTCCCCTTTACTTTTTAAGGATAGTGTTGAAAAAAAAGAGAATGCATTGTGTGAGGTACTAAAACCTTATAATAGGATACATTAAGGTGCATAGGAACAGTGCAGCAACACAATAGAAAATCCTCACTGCACTCCAGCCGAGGCTAGAGGAATGCCAGTGTTATCTTACGCTTCTAGCAGCAGAGCCACTCCAGCCAGAACCCATTTTGCAGTCTTCTCTTTGCTTTTCAGCCTGAAGGTCCAGATGTAGCTAGGGCCTCTCAGTTTGGTTCTGTACACTGGACAGTCGTAGGTTTGTCTGGTTTCTTGTCTGTCCACAAGGGTGGCCTTTGCAAAGATGACCGGCATTGTGCATGTCAGCTCCTTGAGACGGGCTTCGACAATGGTTCCTGAGTGGGTGTCCCATCGGGCGCCTATGGCAAACACACAACGGTTGCAATTGTGTGGCATGTTGCTACTGATGATCTAGTTGTTTGATGCAATAAACATTCTGGTTTTGTCACACTTCTGCTTGTCAGTGGTTATTTTTACCCAGCTGGCCAGACTGAGCTTTGGAAGGTAGGTTACCTCTGCTTGTGGCCGAGGCTCCGCTTTGCTTCCATGTTTAGTGGCGAAACTTTATGAAATGGGATTCTAAGAGAATTTGCATACATTAAAATAGTTTGCGCTTCCTTTTAAAAAACAAGTATAAGAAATCTCCAATTCACCACATTCCCTCCCTGTCACACCTTATTCTGTTACACCAAGTACCAGACACTCATTTACATCAGAACTTGAAGTCAAAAAGGAACATCTTAGTACAGACTGATTGTCCTGCAGAATAATGCATGACCACATACATTTGGAAAATACTGCATAGTCTAGCCCCCTTTTAAAAGACTCACCCTATGCAGTAGCACCTTCAGGGCTTGAAGAAGTTTTGTCTTGTAGTAAAATATTGGAGCAAATTTACTGATTGTTTTTAAACCAAGGAAAGATTTCGAAATGATTACATTATTTTGCTTTTCAATATAAATTCAGTCTCAAGTAACTCTGTGGCATGAATACCCAGACATGTGGAAAATTTAAATGACAGCCATCACCCCAATTATTTTACAATTTGGTTCACATTAGACACCCATCCCAGCACTTCAAGTGTTTGAGACAAAGAGGAAGAAATGTGACAATGATTAGCATAAGGTTACTGTGTGAAGAGATGCTAGACTGTAAGCAGAGGCCCAACATTGATCTGAACCTGAGTAAGAAAAGGCTCCCCACATACTCCTCAGGTGTCTTACCCTCCATGAAGAGCCCGTGGAGGTATGCACCTTCCCTTGGTGGGTGGCCATAATCTTCCTTTGTTTTTTTGGTAACATCAACAGTCAAGCACGTTTTATCCAGTGGCCACTCATTTTTTCGAGCCATTGTCTGCATGATTGCTTTGGAAACAACAAAAATGCAATAGGATCAATGGGATAAAAACATTGTCACTTTTGGAGGCCAAGGCGGGTGGATCACGAGGTCAAGAGATCGAGAGCATCCTGGTCAACATGGTGAAACCCCGTCTCTACTAAAACTACAAAAAATTAGCTGGGCATGGTGGCGTGTGCCTGTAATCCCAGCTACTCGGGAGGCTGAGGCAGGAGAATTGCCTGAACCCAGGAGGCAGAGGTTTTAGTGAGCTGAGATCGCGCCATTGCACTCCAGCCTGGGTAACGAGCGAAACTCCGTCTCAAAAAAAAAAAAAGTTGTATACGAGATTCCCAGGAACTACCAGTAAACTGGGGCATCCTTTAGTCCCATAGGATGTTTTAGGTTCTTAGGCATTTGCACATGGCTGTGCTGGAGCAGGGATTGCCAACTAAGGCCTGCAGGACAAGCTCGCTGTTTCTGTAAATAGTTTTACTGGAATAGCCACAGCCATTTCTGTATTGTCTGGTTGTTTTTGTACTACAACAGAAGAGTAGCTGCGCCACAGACCATTTGGCCCTTTCCAGAAAATGGTTACCAGGGTACACACCGTGCCCAACCTCACTGTAGGAGGTCCTTTCCCTTTTGCTGCTACTCGCCTGCCCAGCACTGTTTCCTCTAGCTGCTGGTCCTTTCTCTAACGGCTGCTGCTTGAGGATTGGTGAGCAGAGCAAGGCGATGCTGTCATACATACAGCAAGGCAGGACTTCTGCTGGGGGTGTGGTCCTGTCCTCATCGGGGACTGCACTGCCTCAGCCCTTACCAGTTAAGAAGGACTGAGGGTTGAAGAAGCCTGAGAGCCACACGACAGCTGGAAGGACAAGGTCTTGTGTCCAAGTATCGAGTTCTCGGCATCGTAGGAGGAGGTCATTGAACCTGGTTAATGGGAGGCAGGAAGAAGTTAACTTGCTGTTAAGTAAAACAGTCATTTTCCAGTACATGCTGGCAGTATGTGGGAGGCAGTTGGGGTGGGGTGGTAGTGGAGTAGAGCTATACCATTGATAGCTGGTAAAATCCTTTTCTGGTAATTTGCAGGGCACTGTCCCTTTAAAGGGCTCATTTGTTTCCTGTTGGAGACTTGATGCCTGTAGCCCTTACATTAGGCAAGATACACTGAGGAATGTGGAAAACTCATATCCATTTATTCAATGGATCCTCTTTACGCTATGTAGTGACTGTACAAAGGTCATCACTCTGTGACGTGGACTTGGACTCACAAGCACCAACTTGGATGTATGGACAGAGTGTCCAAGGACAGGGATGGCAAGGCTACTGGTTACAAGGCCAGAGTTGCCAGAAAAGCTGATAGGCAGGGGGGACAGCATGTGCAGAGGCAGTGGAGCATGCGACAATAGTCTAACCATGTACAGTAACTACCTAAAAGCAGGGAGGGAAAGGTTAATAAGGAAAACAAGTCAGCCATGAATGGGGTGCCAATGGTTTGAGAAACGCTGCTGTTACAGACATGTTCTCTCCTCTACTCACAATTGCAATTGGGCAAGGTAGGAAGTATCTTCATTTTTGTTTGTTTGTTTTTAGATGGAGTCTCGCTCTGTCTCCCAGCCGGAGTGCAGTGGCACAGTCTCGGCTCACTGCAGCCTCTGCCTCCTGGGTTCAAGTGATTATCCTGCCTCAGGCTCCCAAGTAGGTGGGATTATAGGCACATGCCACAGCACCCAGCTAATTTTTGTAGTTTTAGTAGAGACAGGGTTTCACCATGTTGACCAGGATGGTCTCGATCTCCTGATCTTGTGATCCACCTGCCTCAGCCTCCCAATGTGATAGGATTACAGGCCTGAGCCACCATGCTTGGCCTCTGCAGTTTAAGGAAGCTGGCTTACAAAGGCTAGGGACAGATGAACCTCTTTGATACAATTGGGAGACAAGTGAAACCTTGAAATGTCAGTTTCAGAGGCTGCTGAAAGGGGACCCGGAGAATGGAGTACAGAGAGCACAGCCTCAACATAAAAGCCAGAGAGTTCTCCAGAAGGAAGGACTGGCACTAAGTTTTCTAGGACCTTGTGTGCTTCAGAGTTGCAGATGAAGTGGGGATGAATGAGCAACCAGCCTGACAAGCCACATGGCAGACGGCTGCCTGAGACACCTGGCTGACTTGGCTGTGAAGAAGAGAAAGCTCATAATGCTCACATTCAAACTTAGCTCACCACAAGGAAAATTCCTGTTCCCAGACCTATATTAAATTCTTCCCGGCCAGACGCGGTGGCTCACCCCTATAATCCCAGCACTTTGGGAGGCTGAGGTGGGTGGATCACGAGGTCAGGAGATTGAGAGCATCCTGGTCAACATGGTGAAACCCCGTCTCTACTAAAAATACAAAAATTAGCTGGGCATAGTGGTGCGTGCCTGTAGTCCCAACTACTTGGGAGGCTGAGGCAGGAGAATTGCCTGAACCCAGGAGGCAGAGGTTGCGGTGAGCCGAGATTGTGCCATTGCACTCCAGCCTGGGTAACAAGAGCGAAACTCAGTCTCAGAAAAAAAAAAAAAAAAAATTCTTCCAAGTAGCTGGATCAGAAAAAAGCATACTAGAAGATAAGAAGAAACCACATAGGCACCATACAAAGGAAAAAGGGGAAGAACAAGAAAAGCAAGCGCAGGAAGACATTTCTCTCAAAATGTTGCCATCATGAGGATAAATACTGCAACCAATTTGTAAGAACTAAAACCACTGACTGTTTATATAGAACAAGATCATGACTTAGAAAGGATCAGGACGGAAAAAGGAAATTAAGTTTGAAGACCTCAGAAAAGAAGAAAATATCATTATAGAAATGAAAGCAAAAAGCAAGAAGGGAGAATAAAAACAAATAGAAATAAAGAGGTAAAGGATTAGAGTGAAAGCAATAAAATGAGGGCTGAAATGAGGCCACATGCAGTGGCTCACATCTGTAATCCCAGCACTTTGGGAGGCCGAAGCAGGTGGATCACTTGAGGTCAGGGGTTCAAGACCAGCCTGTCCAACATGGTGAAACCCCCTCTCTACTAAAAATAACAAATTAGCTGGGCGTGCTGGCACATGCCTGTAATCCCAGCTACTTGGGAAGCTGAGGCAGGAGAATCACTTGAACCCAAGAGGCAGAGGTTGCAGTGAGCTGAGATCACGTCATTGCACTTCAGTCCAGGCAATAGAATGAGAATCTGTCTCAAAAAAAAAAAAAAAAAAAAAAAGGCCAGGCGCAGTGGCTCACGCCTGTAATCCCAGTACCCCAGCACTTTGGGAGGCCGAAGTGGGTGGATCACAAGGTCAAGAGATCGAGACCATCCTGGTCAACATGGTGAAACCCCGTCTCTACTAAAAATACAAAAAATTAGCTGGGCATGGTGGCGTGTGCCTGTAATCCCAGCTACTCAGGAGGCTGAGGCAGGAGAATTGCCTGAACCCAGGAGGTGGAGGTTGCGGTGAGCCGAGATTGTGCCATTGCACTGCAGCCTGGGGAACGAGCAAAACTCTGTCTCCAAAAAAAAAAAAAACTGAAATGAAACAGGATAAAATAGTGTAATTCTAGAAAATTTTAGTTTTCCTAAATCATGTCTTTGAATCTGTGTAATCAAGGGCACATCATGTTCCAAGAAAATTTGGTAGCAAGTATTCAATACTAAAATATAAAGAATAATATGAACAGTAAAGATACAGAAGCCCTGGATGGCCAGGGGAAAACAAGAAGCCATTTATAAAGGGGAAAGAAGTAGGCTAGCTTTCGACATATCCATGGCAGCATTTGACAAAAGGAACGTGATGAGTACAAAGGCCTCCAACTGAGGGCGTTACTATTATTTTTTAATAACTAGCCAAACTGTCATTCAGGTGTAGACAGAAGACTATATAAGGCATGAAAAACCACCAGCAAATCCAACAAACGGGAAGGTTTATAACCCAGGAAAGAGAAATCTTGATGAAAGTATTCATTTATAAGAATATTTAAACTTCTCAGGACAACAGTGTAACAGTTGTAAAAACAAAAATTATGAAAGGAAGTTATGAAACTAGGCTGGGCACCCTTTCAAAAATAAACAACCTGGAACTGAAAATTACGGACAATGAAATTATATTTTATTTAAGGCAGTGTCTTGCTCTGCTACCCTGGCTGGAGACACTGGTATGATCACACGTCCTTGCACCCTTGACCTCTCGGGCTCCAGCAGTCTACCACCTCTGCACCTCGAGTAGCTAAGACTACAGTCACATGCCACCACACCTAGCTAATTTTTAATTTTTTTTTTAAGAGACAGGGTCTCATTACGTTGCCCAGGCTGGCTTCGAACTCCTGGGCTCAAGTGATCCTCCTGCCTTGACCTCCCAAAGTGCTGAGATTATAGGCATGAGCTACTACACCCAACCTGGACAATGAAATTTAAATAATTAAGAAACAGATTGGAGGCAGTTGAAGATGCAATGAAGATCACCCAAAACTGAAGTCTACAAGTATACATCTGAGAGACACTGAAAACATAACAGGCCCGGCAGATAAATGCAGACACGAGGAGAACAGAGGGAAAGACAATATTCAGAGAAATAAGGGCTAAGACTTTTTCAGAACGGAAGCTATGGATGGTGTCTCGTATTAATGACAGCACTTTAAAAATCCACACCTCAATACAATAGTAAAAGTGTTGAACAACAAGGGTAAAGGGAAAAGTCTTAAAATTTTACTTGGGAAGGAATGGCAAATATTTAAGACCAGACCCACCCTCTACAATCAATACTAGAAAACCAGGGAGTTAGAACATCAAAGTCCTGAGGGAAAATAATGGTGTGTCCTAGAATTCTAGTAGAAGTAAACTATCAATCAAGACTGAGAGTGCAGTGAGGACAGTTTCAGATACACAAGATGATTTACATTCCCCGCCCCCCAAGCCTTGCTCTGTATTTTATACTTTGGTAAAAAGAAAAAGGAGCCTCAAACAAGATACAAAAAAAGAAAGCAATGATGAACAAAAAAAGCAGTGCAGTGTTTTAAAGCAAAAATAATGATTGAGCATAAACAAAATAGGACAAAATCACTCCGGTTTAAAATAAGGTAGAACTACGATTCCAGACCAGGAGGCCGATGTTCAGAGGGAAGCTTAAGGGTCTAAGTTGTGTTGGAAAAATCAGAAGTGTGCATGTTACAATGTAAAGGGTCTCCACTAAAATAATAGGAATGGTACAGGGATAGTTCAGGTTCATGGAACAGGATTCAGGAAAGCAGGGTGAAAGAAACTCAGCACCAAAAAGCCAGGAATAAAGAGCTTTGCGAAACTTCCTGAATTGTTTGCCAAGACCAAGGAGCAGTGAGGTGTAACACTCGCCTTGAATAATCTGTGAATTTCTGCCCTAGCTTTGTGACACATCTCTGCAGTTATATCCCTAGTTTACTGCACACTGCATGCCACATTACAGAATTCCAAAAGTTGTCTATGAAAAGGCATAGGAATCTTAGGTTTGCAAAGTAAAGGTAGAAGATGACACAAAGGCAAATTCGAGTTGCTTTTCATGGCCACTTAACTCTTACAACTCATGCAGGAGATTCTATTACTATCGCATTTCTCAGATTTAAATAAGAGACAGATTATTTTGGCTAAGATCATATACACAAGGAGAGGCAGAATTTGAATTTTGCTCTGACCCTGACTTAACTGTTTTTTGCCTTTGATGCAATAAACCAAGTAAACTCAAATGAAGTTGGCAGAAGAGTTTTCACAGTGACAGGTTGAGTACAGTCACAAAGCCTAGTCTGTGTAGTTCTTAGGAAGCCTTATTCAGAACACTAACCCAGCATCGAGGCTGCTCAGGGCCAGTGGCAGTGAGGATGGGGTAACTTACCACTGGGCTAGGCTGTAAGTAGAAGGATAAGCCAGTTTGCTCCAAGTGTCTGGTACTGTGTCATAACTTAATGCAAACTGCTGGGCTTCCACAGCAGGAGATAATGCCAACTCCCCCTTGCATGGAGAAAAAAAGCCACGTAGTGAATACCTTCCAATGTACTGAAGTCTACTATAGTCTCAGTTTAAGCTTACCTTCAAACTAAGGTCCAGTTGTTCAAGTGATAAACGTATTTCCCGAATGAGAATATTCATCCTCTCACATTCTTGGAAGCAAACAAGAACAAATGGGCTTCTATTTGAATTTTTTTGCATTATCTCTGCCATGTTGAATTCTTCTGGAAGTTTCTCCAAAATGTCATCCAAGACATTCTTAACCTTAAATCATTAACATAAAGATTTAGCTCCTTTCTGTTTCAGTGTTGGTCATGATGACTATGTATACCCTCTACTTTTTGAAGTTCCAGAATAGAGCATACAGCTTCTGAAGGTGCCTGCAAATGCATCTGAAAGATGCCTACAGCTCCCAGGAGGTGGGCAGCATGGCAGTGCCAACTCCCTCAGCTGCTTCTGCACCAATGCCAGCACTTCCCCTTCCACAGAGCCCCAAATCTAGTCAAGAAGGAGCTTCAGTTATTTGCAGTTTATTCACTTCACATTTAGGGACTATAGAACTGTCATTGACTCATGTCATTTGTATGTAAAGACACAATTAGAGGAAGTAGAGGCCTATTGTCTTGGGACTGTATTTTATAATCTGCTAAATTAATAAGATCATTTAAAAATTCACATAAACCAGGGGCTGGACACAGTGGCTCATGCCTGTAATCCCAGGACTTTGGGAAGAAGTCAAGGTGGGCAGATCACTTGGGGTCGGGAGTTTGAGACCAGCTTGGCTACCCTGATGAAACCTTGTCTCTACTAAAAATACAAAAATTAGCCAGGCATGGTGGAGCATATCTGTAATCCCAGGAATTTGGGTGGCTGGGGCATGAGAATCACTTGAATCTGGGAGGTAGAGGTTGCAATAAACCAAGATGGTGCCACTGCACTCCAGCCTGGGAAAGAGAATGAGACTTTGTCTCAAAATAAATAGATAAAACATGAAATAAAATTTACATAACCCAAAGAAGCCTTTTAAGCATAAGCAAATTCTGGTGAACTATGAAGCTGCCTTCCCAACCATGACATCCGAAAATTCCTAGAGCAATTTAGACCAACATTTTTAACAAGGAAACTTGTATCTTCTGTAATTATTACCCTGAAGGAATGAAAGATTCATATATTAAAGATATGAATATGCATGTGGTACTCAGATATGCATATGAATTCTACCGACACGGCTCCGCTGAGCTGGAAGAAAGCAGTCAATATCTAGAAAGGACAAAACATGGAAGAACTTTGCTTGTCCTTCGCCCTGGGTGGCTTTCCTTCTGCCCTTGGTTTCTCAGACTACTGCCTTTGGTTCTGACATAATGCCTGCCAGCTGGCATCACTCTGGCAGGTAATTTATCAGGTCCTAAAATCTTAAGCTCATTTACAGCAGAAGTAGACAGTATATCCAAATGGCCATAAGCATGTGAAAAGATGCTCAATGTTATTGCTCAGCTGAGGAGTGCAAAGCTAAAACCACTGTGAGGCATCGTTACCCTAACAACATCATAGGAAGTCAGAGCAACGGAACTCATACACACTGCTGGTGGGAGAGGAACTGGGACCACCGCTGGGGAAAGCTGATTGGGAAAGCTATTAAAGCTAAACATTATACCCTATCATCTGGCAATCCCACTTCTGGGTATAGGTAAATGGGTATTATGAATGGATGCTTTTGGGAGTTACCTTTGCATATTGACAAAAGACTGTGGAAGAATATTCCTGGTTGTGATATTTCTATAAAAGTGAAAAACAAGAAACAACCGAAACATCCATTCACAGGAGGATGAAGAATTTTATATTCATATAGAATTCTAAACAAAAATGAAGCACTGGTACGTGAACAACAGGAATGAATCTCACAAATGTAATGCAGAATGAAAGAACTTAGACCTGAATGAATGCTTACTATATGATTCCATACATTTGGAATCAGGTAAAGCTAATCTACGATGATAGAGGTAAAGATATTGATTATCTTGGGGGGTGTGAGGGGCACATTGACTAACAAGGGGCATGAGTATCCTTCTGCAGTGTTGGAAATGTTATTTTGATCTAGCTGGTGGTTATATGAGTAAAAACGCAGATAAAAACTTAATAATTTGCACAACTGAGATTAGTACACTTCAGTACAAGTAAGTTATACCTCAATTAAAAAGAAAAGAGAGACCCTCTACCTTTTCTTCTGTAGACTGCCCAAGTTCATCATCACTGAGTGCATTCCTGGGCTGCATCTCCAGCAAAGTTCTAAAGAGAGTGTTGGACGTCATTGTCAGAAATTCGATTTCAGCATTTGGGTGGAGGCCGTACAGTGCTGGACTTTCCGGAGGAAGCATCTCCTCTACGTACTGGTGGTAGCCTGCATAATCTAGGTAGGGTGGGGCAGCAAATCCTGGTGCCAGCATCAGTTCATCTTCAGTCTTCAACCACAAAGGAAAAGTCAGTTATTCCAAATGTAGGTAGGCATCAATTTTCACTTCCTAAGCACTTTGAGAAGACTGACAAGAAGGCCCCAGCACAATGCTGGCTGTGTAGCAGGATCTCTAAACTGCTTTATAATCAACGATTCTATTCTATATGCAGCACCAGACTGATCTCTAGGAAAGAACCCAAGGAACGAACATTAGTCCTATTCCTAAGAAGACTCAGTTTGCAGCGTGCATGGGGCAGTGTGATACATGCACACAAAAGGAATGAGCAAGTGCTGAGCCATCATGGAGCATGGGCTACCCTGTAACACAATCCCATTCATTGATTCTCTCAATCATCCCCATTTCCCTGAGAGGAAATCAAGACTCTGATGTGAACTTGTTAAGACATTTGACTTTAATCTTGATTCTGAATTCATTTTAGTATGACTCTATAGCCTGTCCTTCCCCAGGGTACCATACTTTCCACAGAACTGCTTCACATCATTTTATATATGATGTGAATTTATATACATGAATTGTATCAATATAAATGACATGTGCATTTAATGAAAACTGTGTGTGTGTATAAGTACCACTTATAGGCCATATATAGTAAGAGTCAAACTGATGCTACTTTCCCAGGACTTGGAGCTACTCGCAGCAGAGTCTGTGTTGTTCAGGATCCACAGACCCTCAGAGAGCTGCTGGTGCTCAATACACAGTTTCCTGCTGGGTGAAAGGCTGGAGTAAGCGGGCTTTGATCATGCCCATCTACTTCAATAAGGCTGAGGCAAGAGGATAGACATTCCGTTTAGAGGGAAGTTTTGAACAAAGGCAATGTGAGCAGCAATAACAAACCCTCTAAACATTAGAACGTAGATCTTCAAAACATAACAGAACAATTTATGAGCCTGAGTCTCTGACCAGCCATAAACAGAGTCAATCCAGTGCTTACAATTTTCTAAGTAACAGTATAATCTCAGATTTATTTTTCTATGATGGCTCTTTGGTTTCCAGGGGTCATTAACCCCTCTGCTTTAATTCTCCCAGCCTCTTGCACCATAAATCCTGTCTGTATCTGTACTTAAATGTATAGGGGAATGTTATTTTTAAACTATTGCCTAACGTAGCTATTTTCTGCCTAGATTTTCTAAGTCGGTTTTTGAAACGAGATTCGTCTGTAGATGTGTATGCTATGCTGTGGTTCCCCTCCCTATCACCTGGAGACAAAGTGAATATTCTTTAATTCATTCAGTAATGTATACTCACCACCCAGTACCCTACAACAAACCATGAAGTATAAGCTTCCTATGACGTAGTTATTAGGAAACTCAGAGTCTAAAGAGGACACAGTAAGTGTGAATTTCCACACAATCATGTGGGTAACAGTGGTTTTCTCTTTCCTCCTTAAACCTTCAATCCTAGGTTGCTTAGAAAGCCTATGGCCATGCGTGGTGGCTCACACCTGTAATCCTAGCACTTTGGGAAGCTGAGGTGGGCGATCACAAGGTCAGGAGTTCGAGACCAGCCTGGCCAACATGGTGAAACTCCGTCTCTACTAAAAATACAAAAATTACCCAGGAGCGGTGGTAGGTGCCTGTAATCCCAGCTACTTGGGAGGCTGAGGCAGAACTGTTTGAATCTGGGAGGCGGAGGTTGCAGTAAACTGAGATCACACCACTGAACTCCAGCCTGGGTGACAGAGCAAGATTCTGTCTCGGAAAAAAAAAAGCCCATGTCCTTAATAAGGATGCTTGACTGCTTTCTGCAAAGTCTTGCATTTTAAATACTCAACTCAGCATTTTTATTTTGTACCAGGAGGATTTTCAAGTCAACCAATCCTTCATATTGCCAGAAATTTTGACCAATGAATATGAGAAGGAAGAAGTTGAACTATTCCACCGCCAGTATCCATTGGCTTGGTTTTATTTATTTATTCACATTTGTATCATTTCATATTTCTATATAAGAACAATCAAAATGTATATGTCACCTGGCTCAGAGTGACAGAAATAAAACTATGCTGGAGACTTAAACTCATCATTATTAGTCTATGATGGATAAAGTAGCCAAAATAAAGATATGAGCAAAATATAAATAAGAAAACCCAAAGCTAGAATTTATACATCCCAAGTAAAAATTATTCCCTACAAACAAGTACTTGGTCTTCTCTGCTTGTGCTTACTAGGAAACTGAAATAAATTTCAGAAGTCACAGTTAATCTGTCCTTCAACAAAAACAAAAAGTTAACAACAGAATTTCAAGCAAAGAAACTGACCAAAAACAAAAGCACTTGGAAAAGTTCAACTGCCACGGGGTTAAACGGCCGTGTTTGAATGCGTGTTCATGTACTGCTGATGGGACTGCAAACGGTCCATGCTCTTTGGAAAGAAAATCAGTCTTTATACACATGTGACAAGTGCCTTCCGTATGGTAGGCAAAGAGCAAAGCAAAAGAAAACAGCCAACTCAAAAGGACAGACCTGAGGTTTACAGATAGACAACCTGGTTCAGCTCCCGTGCTTTAATGATTTGGTGGCCTTATGAAATGACAATTTATCTGCGTTTCAATCTCCTAATGGTTGTGGCTATGTGAATTTAATAAGGTATGCAAACAGCTTGGCACACAGCAGACTATTATGTTAGTTTTGCTCTTCCTCAGAACCTAGCAACAGACATAATTATTTTAGTACTTCTTGATTTTTCTAGAAGGAAAAACCATTTCTCATTTTTCTGAGAAATGTTCTATACACAGATACTTGTGTTCCCTTTTACTTTAAGAAAACTTTTGGCCGGGTGTGGTGGCTCATGCCTGTAATCCCAGCACTTTGGGAGGCTGAGGCCGGTGGATCACAAGGTCAAGAGATGGAGACCATCCTGGCCAACATGGTGAAACCCCGTCTCTACTAAAAATACAAAAGTTAGCCGGGCATGGGGGCGTGCGCCTGTAGTCCCAGCTATTCGGGAGGCTGAGGCAGGAGAATTGCTTGAACCCAGGAGGCGGAGGTTGCAGTGAGCCCAGATTGTGCCACTGCACTCCAGCCTGGTACCTGGTGACAGAGCAAGACTCTGTCTCAAAAAAAGAAAAAGCAAAGAAAACTTTCAAGACAATATACTCAAGGAGCCATGTGAATCCTGATGCTGAATCTAGACTTTCTACTTTCCCACTCGAGTTTTTATGAAAAGCCGTTTTTTGCTAATGGGGCCATAATTGCAGACCTCTCTACACAGTGGCTGTTTTTCTTGCTTTTGGGGGAGGTTTGTTTGAGAAAACTGTTGTAATGCCTCAAAGAATCAATAGTTCTAACTAGACATTTCTCCAAAGAAGATACAAATGGCCAATGAGCACATGAAAAGATGCCCAACATCATTAGTCTTCAAGGACATGCAAATCAAAACTCTACTGTGACACCACTGCACCTCCACCAGAATGGCTCAAATAAAAAATGTCGACAGTAGCAGTGTTGGTGAGGATGTGGAGAAAATAGAACCGTCACAGATTGCTCGAGGGAATATAAATTGGTGCAGCCACTATTTAAAAGAGTTTGGTGGCACTTGCAAATAATAAACAGTCACTGCTTGGGCCAGCAATTCCACTCTATCTGAAAGAACTGAAAACATACGTCCAAACAAACTTTGTACATAAAAGTTCATAGCAGCATGATTCGTAATAGACAAAAAGGAGAAACAACCCAAAGGTCCACTGACAGATGGCATAAACAAAATGTGTCCACACAGTGGAACATTATTCAAACTTACAAAGGAATCGAGTACTGATATATGCTACAGCATTGATGAAACTTGAAAACATTATGCTAAGTGAAAGAAGGTTACATATTGTATGAGTCCATTTATATAAAATGCCCAAATCTATGCAAAATAGATTAGTAGCTGCTATGGGCTGGGGTGTAGGTAGTATGGGGTGGGGAGCAGATGGTGAGTGACTGCTAATGGTTACAGGGCTTTTTTTGGGGGGGGTAATAAAGCTGTTCTAAAAGTGGTAATGGTTGCAGAATTGTGAATATACTAACGACCTTTGAATTGCATAATTTAAATTGGTAAATGTTATGGTGTGTAAATTATATCTTAGTAAATTTTTAAAAAAAATAAAATGAATTAGTAAAATCATGCTCAGGCAGAAAGAACCTCCACATCATGAAAATATCATCAAAAATTTGAAATCGTATTTGTTAATGTCAGGGCAGGCACAATTATTAGAAACTGGAGAACCAGTATCCAGCCCAGCTTGTTGGACTCCAAGAAATTACTGTCCTTTTTACATTTTTCTATCTGCATGTAATAAAAAACTGACCCCATTCTATTGCTTCTCCAAGTAGTGTCGGTAATGGCAAGAAGCTCCAGTTCATTGTGAGTTTAAACAAATGCATCTGCCTTTGGCCTTTTGAGTCAAAAATACCATGGCCCCAAAGTACTGTTTGGGATTTTAAGATATTACTCAAATTTGAATTAGCATGGTGTCTTGAGAATGGAAAGGTACCCTGGTGATTTTCTAGGCAATACCTTAATTTTACAAATGAATAAACTGAGGCACAGGGAAGCCATGCACAAAGCTAGATAGCAAATCAGAAGCGGAACAAGAACTCTGATCTCCCATATTGTTTGTGTTGTTCTCAGTGCCGGCCTGTACACCATCTACTGCAGACACGAGTCACTGTTTTGGTGACCTGTGCTACAAACAGGTCAGCACTCCAACCAGGGCAGTCTGCTGCAGAGAAAACTGGCCTTTGGAGTCTGATTGCGAGTAAACCCTGATTCAGCTGCTTGACCTCTCTGAGCCTGAGGTTCTTTTTTGATTAAATGGCATAATACTTCATCATACATATAAAGTGCGTGGTATTGACCCTTGGCACAGAGCAGGTATTTACTAAAAGATTCCCATTGTTATCACAGATTAATGTACAGCCAAGTATTGAATATATATAATGAAATGAATACTTCATAATAAAAAGATTTCACATTTATTAAGCGTATTGTTCTAGCACTGGACCAATGTTCAAACCTGACAGCAAATCTCTTTTAAGTTGGTCATTCTTGTTTTGTAGATGATAAAACTGAGGCTAAGAGAGGTTCAATTACATCACATGGCAAATACAAAGAGGTACTTCAATGTGAACCCAGAGTTGTTTTTGTTTTTTACTTCAAAGCCCAGATTCCTGTTGTTCTATATCACTAAAATAGTTTGTATTCTGTAATAACTTTAAGGTGACCTGGCACCTTATTCTCTGAAAGTAATTTCCTGTATTTCTTACTTAACGCTGCCAAATACATGCTTTATGCGAGATGATGTTTTCTTTCTTAACTTTGGCCAGATACCCTCTTTAGAGAGGGTTCAATGGCCATTGCCATTGAACAACTCTCTCTGAGAGCAAACTCATTTATTCAACAAGAAACTCACTGACCCGCCTAAAAGCAAGATCTCACTGAAAGCATTCTGATTCTTATGATAAAAGCAGCAGAACATTAAACCCCACACCATGAATGGGTTGCTTTTTTTTATCATGTTCCAATGCAACCAAAGACACTAATTTTCAAACACATGAACTACTTGTGGGAAGTGGCAAAAAGATGTCCTGCAAATGAAGAGTTAGATCATGTTGCTAATCTTATAAACAGCATGCACAGGAAAAACGTGCATGAGAACCAAACAACTGGGATTTGCAGCCTCTGACACCAAGTCAGTTAAGTGCTTTAATTTCCTCTGGTGAGTTGGGGAGGTAGCTCTCCAGTGAGGATGCCAGCTTGCAAGTGAAGCATTTCGATCCTGAAAACCTCACCAGATCCATATGGAAGGTCAGGTACCTACATTGCTAAAGGGCTTACACACACCACTGATGCCCCTTCAGGTTGCATCGCCTATATTTATTTACAATTATCTGAATGGGAGTTCAGGCTTGTGAAGGTTAATGGACTGCTGTATTTGGCAACAGTAATTCTCCCCTCAACCACAGGCCAGAGCCAGGGGAGGGACCATCCGAGGGAGCTCCTTGCGGGCCCCTTGCCCTCCACCATCATTCGGAGAAATCAGCCTCTGTAAAGGTCGCATGCCTGGCACTGTTTATCGTTCCCATCTCCATGGTAACTTGCTCCCAGAGCTCTTCAGAGGAGTGACTTCCAATTTAGCACAACTGGAGACTCTCTCTGATATGTGAAATCCTGCTCATTAGAACTAAGGAAAGACCATGAGACTCACAATCAAAAGAAACAATTACATAACATGGTGCATTTTTTGCACTCTCTCTAAATTGTTCAACTTTATTAAAAAGTAGTAACAAAATAATGTCCCCAGTTTTCTACATTAGATTAAAATACACTATGTTTTCCCAGTGTATTTTAGCCTAATATAGTCTAAATAATAGACTAAAATGATTTTAGTGATTTAATCTAATACAGACTAAATATTAGACTGATATGATTATACTACTTCTCAAAATGAACTGAATGAAGGTGATCAAATCTATGTAATGATTCTCTGAGGTGAAATTTTCAGAGAAACTATAAATAGGACATTGCTCAAGTTATTGAAAGCATTGCTTTACACAGAGCTGGTGTGTCGCCTGCCCAACTGGAAATAAAAATGATATGGTGTATGGGTGCTTTAGGTCTTCAAGAAATAACCCGGAATGGCCATGAATCTGGACACCATTAGAGAGAGAGCATGAGAAAACTACAGCCACCACGCTCAGATTCCATAGTATGAGAATATTTGGCTCTTGTTCCAAACAAACTGTAAAAACAAAAAAGTCAGCTTTTTTTTTTTTAACAGGTTGTTTGGAACAAGAGCCAAATAAGTTTCTTACTTTGCACTTGGTTGATAAAATCTTTTTTTTAAGAATTTAATTTTATTTTAAATTGACAGATATTTTATATATATATATATATGGATCGGGAATCATTTCTACATAGGCACAGGGTTACCAAGATGAGAAGTCATAAAAGGATGCCTGGTCTTTTAAAACTGCACCTACAGAGGTAATCTACCTCTTCTTCAAGAGAGAAGGAAGAATGAGGTTCTCAAATCACCATACTTTTCTTTTTAATTGATACATAATAATTATACAAAAGATGGGGTACAATGTAATGTTGTGATACATGTAAACATTGCATAGTGATCAAATCAGTTACTAAGCAGGTCCATCACTTCAAATATTTATCATTTCTTTGGGGTGGGAACATACAAAATCCTTTCTTCTAGCTATTCTTAGATACACAGTATCGTACTGTTGACTATAGTTAACATACTGTGCAGTAGGACACCAGATTTATTCTTCCTTTGTAAGGATGGTAACTTGGGACCCGCTGACCAATCATTCCCCATCTTCCCCTCCCCAGCCTCTGGTAACCACCGTTCTATTCACCACTTATAGGAAATCAGCTTTTTAAGAGTCTGCATGTGAGTGAGAACATGTATTTGTCCTTCACCTGACTTATTTCATTTCACATAATGTCCTCCAGGTTCACCCATGTTGTTGCATCTTTTCTCTTTTTAAAAAATACAACTATATTACTTTATTATCACATGTAAAATATTAACAGAAATTCTTTATTACCATGGTACGTTAATGTTAATTTCCCACTGTGTCATAAATGTCTTTTTTTTTTTTACAGTTTGTTTGGAACAAGAGCCAAATAAGTTTCTTACCTTGCACTTGGTTGATATAATCTTTCTTTTAGATATAATTTTAATTTTGTTTTAAATTGACAGACAATAATTATATATATTTATGGGGCACACATTTGGATACATGTATACGTCATAGAATGGTTAAATCAAGCTAATTAACAAATCTATCACCTCACATACTTATTCACCACATTTTTCTTAAGCACATATTTAATAGGGTAACTGTAACTGGTCAAACTGTAGACTATTCCCTAGGACTTCTATGACAGGCAAAAAAGGAACTTTAGTGAAATGAACTTTGGAATAGAAATCAAAAGACTTGTGTTAAAAGATGCACACAATTCTTGCCCATACCAACCTAGTGGCCTGGGGCAAATCTCCATGTTTTAGCATCTCAGTTGATAAAATGGAGTAACAATGTCAGCTCTGCATATATCATAGGGTTTTTATAAAGAGCTGACAAGTCAGGGTATGTGAGCGTGCCTCACGCTGGCACACTCTCTAGCACGCACAGAAATCACCTGGAAGACTTGTGAAAATGCAGATTCTCATTCCGTAGGTCTAAGATGGGACCTGAGATTCTGCCTTCCCAAGAAATTTCCCAAAAGGCAAGAATTCTCAATACATTAAATAATTATCCATAGTGCAACTCATTTATAAGATTCTTACCAGAATCTTTTCCACAGTGAAATTAATTTAAAATGAATTAATTTACAAATGTCTTACCAGAGATGAATTCATGAATTCTTCTAAATACACCCGACACAGTTTGCGATCCCAGTCATCTGTGATGTGGCCCCCGTACATGATCTCACCAAAGAGGTAACGGAGATCCTCCCATGGGACCTGGGGTGGGGGGGGAAATCACACAAATATTCACTGCTGAGTGCAGAGTCTGCCTCAGAGTAGCCAACCAGTGGCACGTGCCCCTCTAACAGAATGCCCTCCAAACCTCTGTCAATAGGAGCATTTAAAGGTGGTTCAGAAATTGTCTAAGTTCCTGCTTTCTTGGGAGAATTATTTTGTGTCAGTGAAAAGTCACTAACACTGAAATATTTAAAAAGACTTTGTAAGAGATGGGGTCTGGCTCTGTTGCCTAAGCTGAAGTGCAGTGGCACAATCACAGATCCCTGCAACCTTGGCCTCTCCGGCTCCAGCAATCCTCTCACCTCAGCTTCCCAAGTAACTACAACTACAGGCACATGACACCACACCTGGCTGATTTTTTAAAAAATCTGTAGAGATGGGGGGGTCTCACTCCATAGTCCAGGTTGGTTTTTGAATTCCTGGTCTCAGGCCATCCTTCCTCCTTGGCTTCCCAAAGTATTGGGATTACAAACTTGGGCTGCCATGCCCAGCCTTAGGCAGATTTTAAAGGAAACTGAATCATTCAGAGAACATGTTTCCAGGGAAAGTTTATACATTCGAAATCTCATGTAAAAATTGTGAGGGAATGTTGGTTCACAAGGCCTTTGAAGTATGTCATGGTTTTATTATCTGATTTATATCAGCTTTCATTATCTGATTCAGGAAAAGAAAACAACATCCACACAATTTGAAACTGGGGTGTATTTGAGGGCTTGGTTTATGGCATGACTGTTCTAAGGGTTGTAACTAATGACTGTACCACGTTTTATTCAAGAAATCACTGTATCTCCTCTTTATTTGGCTTAGCAGGGTTTGAAGCCTCTTTTGCTACCCTTTAGCTTCTTCTGGGGTTGCGAAACATGCCAGTGTGTGATGAAGTCTTTCTAGACAGGAACCTTTATACCTTCAGGGGCAGTAAACTGCCTCCCAACAGTTCAGGTAAAAACGTGATCACAGCCTTCGCTTGTTGGGTGATGTGACAGAACAGAACAAGTAAACGTGCTTCAACTATGCCAATGTACTTGCTACAAGTTCATTTGAATTGGAATAAATGAACCTCAAATATGTCTTTCTTTTCAGCTGGGTTGAGGTGAATGAAAGATAAGAGAGGGGTGCCTAGGCTACAACATGCTCTCTGCATAGACTACCTTCACTTTGGGAGGCCAAGGTGCGTGGATCACAAGGTCAGGAGATCAAGACCATCGTGGCCAACAAGGTTAAACCCCATCTCTACAAAAAATACAAAAATTAGCCAGGTACAGTGGCAGATGCCTGTAATCTCAGCTATTCAGGAGGCTGGGACAGGAGAATTGCTCGAACCCAGGAGGCAGACAGAGGTTGCAGTGAGCTGAGATCATGCCACTGCACTCCAGCCTGGGTGACAGGGCAAGACTGTTTCAAAAAAAAAAAAAGGAAAAAGAAAAAAATTGATTCTTTTTCTCCCAATTCTGGTCTTTGTTTTTTACATATACTTTCTTGAAAAGGGCATTTTGTACAACCAAACTATGTGCACAGAGAAACATAATTCCCCAATCCTGATAACTCGCTTTGTGACATGCAGAAAATGACTGAGGTCAAGACATCTGAGAAACATAAGGATGTGCTAAAAACTTGAGGCTGATCCTGGAGCCCCAGGAGGAGAAATGGCAGGAGAAAGTGTGACTCAGTTGGTCAACTGGTGTTTCCAAGACTAAGGATGTAAGGCTGGAGAGAAACACATGTCCACTTCCCTCTTCCTGTCCTTCATTTCCACTTCAATTATGTACAGGATTCAGCTAAAATACAATTCCATTCCTGGTCTTAGCCTTGCAGGTCAGTTATGAACAACTTGAATAAAAGTCTTAAATGGTCCATTCCTTTTTCTGCCTAGAACTACAATAATCTTATGTGCCGTAGTTTAGACAAAATGTGCTGGGAATCAACACAAAAATATTACCATTTATTAGAATGGGCAAAATATGCTCAAAGTATACAGAATTACTTAATCCTATAAATTAAAAAATGAGAGATGTGGAACCCTGAACATCAAATACCAGATTAAAACCATTTATTTTGGATTCAACTTTTTAAAAATTTGTTCCTTGGGAAAACACACCTATGTTATGTACTAAGGGTATATATATATTCTAATAGCAATCAAATCACCACTGAAACTTGAGAAAACTGACAACCAAAACTGTAACAATTGTGACTGAAGGAACAGAAAACAATAGTTTCCATTTAGAAACAGGGCCGGGTGATTTTAAAAGCTCTATATGGAAAAAGTGGCCTAGAGTACAATACTCAGATTGGTTTTGACACATCTATTCTAGTTTTAACGGATTTAACTTAATGAAAAAAGTTTCCCTTGAGAGGATTAAGGTAAATCATTCTTAGGAATGAATGGTTCTTGCTTTTTGAAATCCAATCATAGGGTTTATGAGAATTTACACAAATGTTCCTGATGAGGCATTCCCATTCCCATCTGTAAAACACAATTTAGCTATGAAATAAAATCATTCATCTACCTTTAGCTTCAAATCAAGGGGAACATTACTGAGAAAGTCACAACAAGGTGGCATCCTTAATACATAATAATGACATATGCAGGAAATGCACCATTATTTATACATGTGACGTGCTGTAAATTGCTTCCATCATCAGAACTAATTGTAGTGATTATTAATGCAGTGTTATGAACTGTCAGAATTGCTGTATGTAATTACATTTGTGCAAATGCTTCATTACCTGCCTAATGAATCTGGCATATATGCACATGTAAACCACTGTTTTTGTTAACATAATGAAGGACATTTTTTTCCCACTAAGCTGCTGATGTAGAACTGGTTTGACCTATCTCATGAAGTTTGAACATTTACTGCTGGAAAACCTTTGATCTGGTTTATTTTCACACTTGGCAGAAGATGCATATATAGTGTTAGCTTTTTCAATATTAGCTTCAAAAGAGAAATTATGGTCAATTTTGATAGTGCCCAAAGCCTGACAGTTTTGTAGACTCCTTGGAGGAGGTTATCTGACCACTAGCACTTACTGTAGGGTTTGCCTCTAAGTAGTTGTAGAGGACGTTGGCACAAACGGTGAGATCTCCAGGACTGAAAGGATAGCTTCGGCTCCAGCCCTGGGGGCCAAACCTCAGTCTCCCAGCAACACAGGCATGGAAGTAGCAGAGAGAAAAGAGGATGCTTTTAAACTCCTGCTCCTTGGAGCATATTTCAAGTGTATCCTAAGAGAAAAAAAAAGAAGAAATGCTTGATTATCTATCTTTATGTTTTCCAAGGGCAAGGGTCTGAGTTTTCAATAATCTGGTAAAGAACTTTGAGAGAGAGATACTACAGAGGTAACATGTAATTTTCAGCATGGCTACCTCTCCTATGAGAACATAATAAGAGACTATTTGGCATTTGTCAGCCTGTTGGCTTAAGAGGAATACTTTTATTTTGCTTCGATCATTCTTCTGAAAGCTTCTAAGTTCACTAGGAAGTAAGACAGTTCATTTTAACCATGTTGATACTGCTTGACATCATTTTCCCCTGCAAAATTTTCTTTGTAGACTCTGGATGACATAAAGCCATCAACTTCATTTCATCACTGTGGTGGAATGCTACCATAGTTGGGAGAATGCTAGTTCACCACAGCTACCCATTCTTCGCGGGTTCCACTGCAGTAGAGATCATCTGGGCATATGGACACCCACGACTGTTTCCCGCCTCCCCTGAAGCCAGTTGTGTCACATGACCAAGACTTTGCCAACAGAATTTCAGCTAAACTATTGTGTATAACTTCCATGTCATTTGCTGAAAAGGAAATTGCTCATCTTGGCTGTCACTCTTCCCTTTTTTTCTTTTCTCTTTTTTTTTGAGGATTCTAGCTCTGTTGCCCAGGCTGGAGTGCAGTGGCACCTTCTCGGCTCACTGCAACCTTTGCCTCCTGGGTTCAAGCAATTCTCCTGCCTCAACCTCCTGGGTAGCTGGGATTATAGATGCCTGCTATCACATCTGGCTAATTTTTCTATTTTTAGTAGAGAAGGAGTTTTACCACATTGGCCAAGCTGGTCTCGAACTCCTGACCTGAGGTGATCCACCCACCTCAGCCTGCCAAGGTGCTGGGATTATAGGCATGAGCCACAGGGCCTGGCGAACTCTTATCTTTTCTATGGCTAGAAATGATGATGATTGAACATGTCTGGAAACCTTGAGTTAGGTGTAGCAGAGGCACCCATCAGCTTGGAGGTATGAATGATCTCATGGAACAAAGCTGCCTAATATGTGAGAAGGAGAGAAACAAACTCCAATCTCGTTTGAATCTCATTTTGATTCTCTTTCTTACAGCAGCTTAGCCTCTACCTTCACTAATACAATCACCATGACACATGATTTCCTTCCAATAAACTAAGAGTGAAATTCATTGTTGGGATGACTGGGTGACAAATCGAAGATTGGGAAACATGTGTCTAGACCTGTGAGATATTTTTGAGAATGCAAAGGGAAAGTGGAATTCTGGTATGCTACGTCGATACAGTTATGGCCCAACTGCCATAAGAGGAGAAAAACAGCTGTCCAATATACGGCTTAAAAGTCATACTTCACCCATGTTCGGATTTGGCAGTTTTGTGAGGCAAGGAAAGGAAGTTGAAGACTACTTCTTCAGCTGGCATTGAGCAGCAGGGGAGAAAGAGGCCAAAATCTGCACCTCCCTGCCTAGTCCTTTAAAATGGGCAAACTATAGCCAATTCCCATTTGAAATGGATCTGACAACTTGGGCCATATATAAAGTATACTTAGAACCAGTGGGAGTAGGAGTTCAGAACCAGTCTTCCAAGGGACTTCTGGTACTAAACCAAACCCGGATTTGTTCTCTGTGGGTCGGGACCAGAGAACTCTTTAGTGTCTTTTGACAGTGCTGTTAGCAAATCCTGCCAAATATGGTTCTAGAATTGGCCAGGAAGCATATAGTGCAGACCTCGTTACATCACGAAGTCACTCTAAATCACTAGGCCATTTTTAGGTCATTTATGGGGCTTGGAAATATATAATCATTACAAAATAACTTTTCCACAAATAAAAGGCAAGCTTGTGAAGGCAGAAAAGATAAACTATATAACTGGAATTGACCTTGAAGGATATTTGAAAAGTTACTTGTAAATATAAGAAATTTCTAGGAGATCCAATATAAGTATCAAAATTTCACTTTGGAATTATGATCTAACAAATCAATACCTTTCTGAATTACAGATGGTCCACATAAAACCCAAAGTACTACAATAGCTAAGTATATTAATTCAATCTGTATTTTAAATAACTGACTTGGCTTTATTCTCAGTGCTAAAACAAACACAAGTCAATGCATTTCATTGTGTTCTGATAACAAATGATGTAGGAAGAAGATATGAATCAGGCTTTCTGAACAAAAGGTTTGAGTCTACCTACCATTCCACATTTCAGGCCAGTTGTATTTTTGCAAACAAGTGATAGGCAAATTAATATTTAAAAAATACAGACTGCATTGTGAACAGAGAGCAGGCATCTGCATACATATAATAGTGCTATTTGCCCACAATCACCAGTTGTTTTTGTTTTTTTTGTTTTTTTTTTGTTTTTGAGACAGAGTTTTGCTCTTGTTACCCAGGCTGGAGTGCAATGGCACGATCTCGGCTCACCGCAACCTCTGCCTCCTGGGTTCAGGCAATTCTCCTGCCTCGGCCTCCCGAGTAGCTGGGATTACAGGCACACACCACCATGCCCAGCTAATTTTTTGTATTTTTAGTAGAGACGGGGTTTCACCATGTTGACCAGGATGGTCTCAATCTCTTAACCTCGTGATCCACCTGCCTCGGCCTCCCAAAGTGCTGGGATTACAGGCTTGAGCCACCGCGCCCGGCCCCACAATCACCAGTTTTATATGCACAGTGATCAATTACTTGTTTCTGCCTGCAAATTTTACAGAAACAGAAATCTATATTCTTACTCTAAAAAATATAGTTATCTGTGTGTGAGGGGAGCCAAAAGAGTACTCCTTTACAGTATCTTCTTCAAGAGGCTCTTTAGCTGAAAGGTAAGGTAAATGGTACCCTACAAGAAACAGTTCTATATGTCTTGGCCACTTAATGATTAAATCTACATAAATATTCTGTGTTGCTCAGGAGAATAAAGTACCAGTATTAAACAAACTGTTTATTTTGAATTCACGTGCCAAAGTTTGGAGGTAAATTCTAATTTGAGGGGAAAGATTAAAAATATGGATTTAAAAATTAGCCAGGCATGGTGGCATTTGCCTGTAGTCCCAGCTACTCAGGAGGCCGAGGCAGGAGGATCACTTGAGCCCAGGAGTTCAAGGCTGCAGTGAGCTCTAAGTGTGCCACTGTACCTGAGCCTGGGTGACAGGGCAAAAATGAAAAAAAAATATATTTAATTTGAGTTGAAAAATATCCCAGCAGTACAGCTGACTTATCTAAACCTCTTGGGTATTTTACTCCACTGTAAGGGACACCCAGGCAACAGGAACAACTGGCCCTGATTTACCTAACCCGTATAAGTAACAAGAGAACTAGTATTCATCATTCTGTCCATTCACAGGCTTTAACAAGACTGGACCATAGTAGCCACACAGAACACTCAGGATGATACAAGGAGATGTGGGAAAGGATATCTACGATAGAGACTGCTGGCTGCCTTCCTTAACATGTCTTCTTGCTGATTTCTAGCTGGGCATATGGTTGTTTAAGATAAATTTACTTTTCCCAGCCTCTCTTGCATTTAGGTAATGCAATGTCTGACCAATGACATGTAAGAAGTTCTGTATGTTAACTTGCAGGAAGCACTTGCACAGCAAAGCAAACACAATCCTTTTCCTTTTGTCATCTTCCATGTTTCTTTTCTCATCCTCCTGTCAGGAATATGGATATAGGGGCTGCTACTCCCACAGCCACCTGGGACCATAACGAGCCTATTCTAGAAATGGTGAACTATCAAGAGCCAGAATGATGACAATTGGTAGTAACATATGGGTTCTGAATGGACTATCTGTAAAACTCTCATGTGGCAGAACTACTTTTTGAACTGTGTAAGCCACTGTTATTTTCTAAGAACTTCTTTCAAAAGTAGCCAACCCAACATTCTAACTGATAAAAGGGTAATGGGAATTTATTCACAGAGAGCCAGGGAGCACAGGCTAATACCCTTGAATTATATAAGCTGATTAAAACCTGCATTTTGTTTTCTAACATAATGACAGGTCAGCATTAATAAAAGATGGTAACATTTTAGCTTTTCTGCAGAGTTTTTATTTTGTTAGTTGGTTCTAGCTAAAATAAGTTTGATGAGAAGTTTATTTAGTGAATCACTTTGCTTTTGCTACTTTTTATTAAGTTTAGTCTTAATATTTCAGAGGACCCTCTCCACAAAATAAGAAATATTCTTCCTTAAAATTCTTAAAAGTATTTTCAATAAATGCCTTTTCAAAAAACCTTCAATTAATAAAAATGGCTTTCCAGAGAGCAGTCAAAAGAACTGATAGGTTCATGAAAAGACTAGAACAGGTGTTCTGAACTAGGGAATTCATACATAGACTTTGGGAGAATCTGTGAATTTCTACCAATATATGCAATGTATTTTTAAAATTCCTTATTTATTATTTTTTGAGACAGTGTCTCGCTCTGTTGCCCAGGCTAGAGCACAGCATAGCTCACTGCAGCCTCGAACTCTTGGGCTCAAATCCTCCTATTTCAGCCTCCTCAAGGGCTGGGATTGTAGGCATGGGCCACTATGTCTGTCCCAATATGCAACATATTTTCAAACGTGTATTTCCCTGGGGAGAGTATCCATAGTTTTACACGATTCTCAAAGTGTTTTGTTCTTATGTCAAAAACAAAACAAAACAAAACAAACAAAAAAACTAAAGGATAATTGGGCTGAAGCATATTTGTTCATGAAATGTTCACTTTCAGGAATAAATATAATTATTTTAGGGAGTAGATAAGTACTAATTAAAGAAATCAAATTCCTCTTTGTACTTAACTTTGGGAAATAGCTTAAAAATGTCAAAAATAGAAATTATATCTTAAGGGATGATTAAAAACATGTATGTCTCTCAGTGGATTAAGGCATATTGCAAATATTTACTAGTTTCAAAAAGATTTTTTGAGTGCTACTATTTACACAATCTTCTGTGTGTACATAGGATACAAATTACTCAAATTTTTAATGAAGTAATTAACTACATTTTTCAACACTGTATTTTTAGGTAGTGAATTATCATAATTCCTTCATAATGTTGGTTTAGGTATTGACCCAAAAAGTACTAGAAAAGAAGTTGGATGTTGACACTCTTCATAAAGAATAACATTTCTATGAGGAGGCTGAATATTTATCACCAAATCATATGTATTTCCTTTTTAGGGTTCATTCTACTCTCCTGACAAGAGTGTGATTTACCAAGGATTTACAAGAAATTAGAGGAAGGAAGGAGATCTCAGAGCAATAACAAGAAAGGAAACTGGAAGACTTGATAATGATATTGACAGATAGGATAATTTGGGTAAAAAGAACAATGATAATATAGGTATCATTAACTTATATATGTATTCGGCCAGGTGCGGTGGCTCACACCTGTAATCCCAGCACTTTGGGAGGCTGAGGCGGGCAGATCACCTGAGGTCAGGAGTTCGAGACCAGCCTAGCCAACATGGTGAAACCCTGTCTCTACTAAAAAGACAAAAATTAGCCGGACGTGGTGGTGGGCACCTGTAATACCAGCTACTTGGGAGGGTGAGGCGAGAGAATCACTTCAACCTAGGAGGCAAAGGTTGCAGTGAGCCAAAATCACACCACTGCGCTCCAGCCTGGGCGACAAGAGCAAAACTCTATCTCAAAAAATATATACATATATAAACATATATATATATCTCACACACTTATACATTTGTCTTACCTTGTACAAACATGAAAATATAAATAAGGTATCAGAGATATAACCTGAAAAGAAAGCTTTAAATTTAGTCATATCAAAACCAAAGCTAAAACATTACACTGAAACTTTTACCATGTCATTACTGTTGCCATCAGCAACAAAAAACAATGGCTTCTCCTCTTTCTGTGGTCAGAGATACCAGTCTGCCACATTTATTGTCAACAAGTAAGTTCCAACCAGGCACGATGGCTCAGGTCTGTCATCCCAGCACTTTGGGAGGCCAAGCCAGGTGGATCACCTGAGGTCAGGAGTTCAAGACCAGCCTGGCCAACATGGTGAAACCCCGTCTCTACTAAAAATACAAAAATTAGCTAGGCGTGGATGGTGTGTGCCTGTGGACCCAGCTACTCGGGAGGGAGGCTGAGGCAGGAGAATTGCCTGAATGCTGTAGTGGGCTGAGATCACACTACCACACTCCAGCCTGGGGGACAGTGAGACTCTGTCTCAAAAAAAAAAAAAAAAAAAAAAAGGAAGCAAATTTCTCAAGATGTTACCTAGTTGGTTCTCCCTACACAGTAGCTGAAGTTTTCTTAGTGTCAGGGTGAAGCAGAAATATATTTACTAGTCATTAGAACAGAAAATGACAGGGACAATTCTTTCAAGAGAGTAAAACACACCCACTCCTAGCCCTCCACACTCAAACATTGAGAAGTTGCTTCATCCCTGTAAATGACATGCATGGATTGATGCTGGGCCCCACAGTCTCTGAGAAGACTCTGACTTCACTGTCTGCCCATGCTGCTTTGCTTTCTTACCTGATCAAAGTTGTAGAGGGCCGCATGCAAATTGGCCAGCATCCCTGTGGGGGGCTCATTAGTGATCTTAATGGAATTTTCCAGGAGTCCTTGAGGGATGATATGCTTATCTGGTGAAGGTGCAGGCTCGGCACTCATGAAAACCCTGTAATCTCTGTGGCTTCCTTGGCTAAGTCTTTCAAGGAGCTTCTCCAAGGTTCCTAGCCACTTGGCTACCAAATGAACATTCTGAAAGATAGTATGGTGCATAATTCCTGTGAAGGTGAGGCATATGACTTGAATTATAAGATTACATTTTCCTATATGTAACTGCATTGAAAACTCGGAGAACCATGATTCAAATTTTCCTTTATCAATATACATCAGAAGAAGGAAGGAAAGAAAAGTGAAAAGGGAATGGAACCTTGAATGTATTAAATGTTCCCAATCAACACAGATTATTTTTGTAACCCCAAACCTCCAGGCAATACACATACCTACTTTAAACACCCACCAGTCACTTCTGAGCTGGAGTTGCTTAGTACTTTTCTTTGCTATGGTTCAAATCCAATTACTGAGACATATCTAGGTTAGTTTAAGAAAATAAAAAATTAAAAGCCAGAAACGTGCCTGATTACCCACTTCATTGTTTCTGATGGAAACCTCTTCTACTCAAACTCCTACCCATGAGCATATGAACTCAAAAGGATGTGAGGGAAGTAAGGCCAGCTGAGAGAAAGTACTCACTCACTGTTAAGGTGCTTTGGGTGTTCCTAACAGATGACTTTCCTTAAATCCTAGGACTCTCAGAAGTCACACACACAAAAACAAATGCCACCACTGTCATCATTCTTCTCTTTTCCATTTTATGATTCACAAATTTGCTCCTCCAACACTAAACACCCACAGGGTATAGCTTGGTAGTTGGTGCTGGGAGAGGGTATAAAGGCTGCACCTTACACACTCTCTGGCTTTGGAGAAGTCCTTGATACAGTAATTGAAACATCACACCCAGAGATATATAATTATTTCCAACAAAGATTATAACAGTCACAAAAATACAGAGAATGAAGACAAACAAGGAACAAAATAACCATGCAGGTATCTTCTTTAAAATTTCTACTGCAAAAGGACCTATGCCAATTCAGTCATTCACATTGTTGGCTACTATTCCCTTGGCAAATCATGAACACTGGTAGATGTGATGGGCTGAATTGTGTACCCCCAAATTAATATGTTGAGGTCTTAACCCCCAGTTTCTCATGTGACTATATTTGGAAATAGGGTCGTTAAGGAGATAATTAAACCTAAATACGGTCATTATGAAGGGTCTTAAACCAATAGGATTGCTGTATTCATGAGAAGAAGAGATTAGAACCCAGAACACAGAGGAAAAATCATGTGAAAACACAGAAGTTGGCCATCTACCCTAGCAAAGTAAGACAGTAGGCAAGGGTTCTAAGTTCCCTCCTTTCCATGTTTGCTAACAGGTTATAAGGAGAGAGTATTTCTCATTCCTAATTGTGCCACTCATAAAATAAAACAATGGAAGCAATAGTAAAACCTGCTTTGTAAACTCAATTGTATCTTCATTCTCTGTCTTACGGACTACAACAGAAACTTACCTGAAAAGTTTACTTGAAACAAATGTAAAAATACTCCAGGCAGTGACTGTGGAGCCACTGAAGGGGACAGAAAAACCTCCAGTGAGCCATCGTGGAACACAGGCACACTCTGGCATCCAGCCTGGCAGCTATGCTTGAGGCTTTGGGACTGGCTAGATTCTTACATTTATTTTTCCAAGAATTGCAATGCTTGTGCAACATTTTTAGACAATCTACATGTCTTGGAAATGCTTGGAAATTGGTCATTTTGTCCTTGAAAAATGGTTTTCAATACCTGTTATGTTAATTCACAAACCTTCTGGTGTGCATATGAGATAAAAATACTTGCCAGGCTGCTACTTTTTCTCTGGAACGTGGGCTTTCAATGAAATACCATCTCAACACCTTTAAAGGGCTCTATCTAATCATAACAAGTGATCATACTGAGGTTCGGGTAAGAACTAACTAACATGTAAATACATATCATATACCCATGTTAATATGATTTAATGTAAATTACGAACAGCACAAGTTTCCATTATGTTGGTCTTCTCTTTCTTCAAAGTCCTGCTTCTCTTTTTCCTGCTGATCAAACAGATACTAGAAACCTCTAGACACTGGGACAGCCAAAAGTCTGGCATAACCTCTCCGTACCAATTACTCTATGTGGGTACGGGGATAGGGAGGGAAGAGGCTTAAACAGTTAAATTCTAGGTTCCTGGCTGAGCACTAAGAGCAGAAATCAAATGTCTGAAACAAATATCCAAAAGTTGATCCTTGACAAAATAAGATCTTTTAAGGATTTTTTTTTTAGTGGCAAAACTGACAGCTTGCAATTTTAGGGACAACAGGTAGCTTAGCATAGAAACAAAAGTGATAGAAACATTTATTTTGAGTATGTTCTTTTGAGGATCACTATAGCCCTCCTAGTGTTCTCTCCAGTCTGAGATGCTGGGCGCATGAGAAGTCTCAAAGAGCTCTTTCCTTTCTGAGACGATCTTACAATCTACCAAATTGTATGACCATCAACTGTTTTCTCGGGAAAAAACCAACCCTCCCGTGTTTCTGATTCTGAGCCTAAGAAGGGGATACACTACATTACCCTCAATCTCCTTACAAAGGTCTCTATTAAGGCCTCATCTAAGCAGTGAGTATTATTGTCCCAGAAGGTTACGTTCCTGCCATCATAAGTCTGCTTGGACTCTGGAAGCCCCTCTATGAATCCAGTTGGATTTCAAGCAGAAATGCCAAAGGCCGTGGATAATGGAGACACTAAGGGAGGCCAATGCTGTATCCTGCATGAGGGTGGCTATTTTCAGGAATGCCACCCGCTGCCAAACACATCTAGACTCCAGTACCAGCTCTGCCATCCAACCAGCCCTGTGGTCTTGAGGCTCTCCAGACCACTCCAATGCTCACTTCTCTCATCTTGATATGGAGAATGACAACTCCTAACCTTGGAGCTTTGTCATAATAATTAGAGATGAGGTAGCCTGTGAAGTGTCTACTAGAGAGAACCTTTGCAAGACTGAGCTGAAAACTAGATAGCCATTCCTAGACTGGCTGAGACACCTAGCAGAGCTTGCTGTGGACAGAGTCAGCACGTTTCTCAGGTGCCCCCTAATGCTGGCCTGTGCTCCACTGGTTCCTGTAACACTCAGCCAAGGGGACCCTCCCAGAGGACACTGGGTGGTATAACCAGAGGTCTGTATGATGTTAGCCTGGGAAGGGATAAAGGGGTTGTCTGCTCAAATCCCTTTAATTTATGATCAAAGGGAATATTACACACTAGTTAGGGGCAGAGTCAGACTTGTATGAGATAATAATGATTCATGCAGGAGGCAGATAAAAGAGGGTCACCAGAGCATCTCTGACCTGCCTGTGCACTGGGAGAACACGGTGGAGCCCTAGGAAATTTGCACCTTTTGCAGTGGGGAGGAGCCAGATACAGGGAGGGTTTCCTTCCCCCTTATCTCTGACCTGCCCGCCCACTGGGAGAACGGTGGTGTAGGAAATTCCCACCATTTGCAATCAGGAGAAGCCTGGCCTCTCCAGCTCCCGTGTGGTGGCCTAGTATTCAATCTCTGAGGCCGGGGCCTGTTAGCAGGATCCCCTCTCATTTTGCTGAGAGTTGTTTTTTTCTTTTTGCCCAATACATTCATTCCCCTCCCCCTTCAATGTATCTGTGTTCCTAATCCTTTCTGGTTGTGTGACAAGAACCCACTTTTAGTTAAGTAGCAAAATTCTACAACAACAATATACATTTAAAAGGGTTCTGTTAACTCTAATGTGCAACAGATACTATGAACACAGTGTTGGCAATCTAAAGGAGCCTGTTAGTTTTCAGGACTCCTGCGTGTTCTAGGTATCTCTAAGCAAGGGGAATGATGACGCTCTTCCAAATCGCTTTAATTTTAAAGCACAATGGCTAGACAGTCTCAGAAGATGACAGCCATCGCTGTCTACAGAGCCCCTCACTATCTTTGAAGGTGCCATGAACACTGACAGAACCGTCTGGACTCTGCAAATCGCCATGAGGAGTGGTGTGAAGAGGGCGTTCTGTTGGGCAGGACAGCTCTCCCTGGCCCTCCTCTGTGTTTATGCCCAGTGCCTTCCCTGAAACTGAATACTCACTTGGAGGATGACCCAGTGTCCCCCTTTGGAAGCTTTCTCCAGTGCCATTTCTGCCACCGTCTCCTGACCTTGTCCTAAAGACACGTTGTGGAATTTTCCAGAGTCAATTGTAAAGCCAAGTCTTTTGCCTGTGAGAGAATACACCACAGTGAGAGGAAACGTCTGTGAAGGAGGGTGAGAGGAGCCTGGAATTCTGTGGTCTAATGCACAGCTGTGCCCACTGTAGCTATCTTCTGGGTGACTTTCCTGAAGAATCCAAACAAAACTTCTGCTGTATCCACAAGCAGCATTTTGAGCTCTCCACAGCTGCCTCATTGCAAGCATTAGAAAAGCCTGTGGAAGCCAGTTCCTTGGGTTTTATGATAATGAAGCTTTTGACATTTTGATAGATGGCAGGCATTGTTATGGAGCTTTATAAACTCTTGCAGGAGTAGCAAAGCATTTCTCTCATAAAAAGGAGCAACATGTGGTAGATATCACATCATTTTTTTGAATGGATCTGTTCATTGGGTAAATGCACAAGCCTCTCACCTTGAGAGGCTGCATTTAAATTGAGCGCAGTCAGGTCACAGCTATATTAACCTGGTATTCTTGGTGCAGGCCGTGGGGAATGGTAATCCAGAACACAAAGGCGACAGTGCCTTGCGCAATCAAATACACTTGCTCTAATGACCATTATTTAGTCACAGGGGGCACGAGATTACATGAGCATGGGGAAAATTGCCCTCTGGCCCTCATATAGTTGAAAAGTGGAAAACAGTACAAAAGAAACTCACATTATGCCAGCCAGAGGAATGTTCCATTTGAACATTTCTTCAGACTACAGTGTTATTAGCCTTACATGTTCCATACACCCAATCTTCAATGAAAGAAAGAAAGAAAAAGAGAGAGAAAGAGAAAGAGAGATCACTGTGAACTGAAAGGAAGGGCAGGGTGGTGGGTGAAAGGGAGGGAGTGAGAAAGGATGGGTCAGCAAGCCTCCCGGCCACTCACCAAGAATCTCCAAGTCTTTAAGGGCATCTACCCCTGGGGATAGGATGAAGAATATGGGGGTGGCTGGGCTGCTTTCTTCGAATGCTTTAACTAATTCCAATCTGGTGCTCTCCACATACTTTGCACCCAGCTTTTCCTCTACAAAATTTCTATAAAAAAGAAGAATACAGAAAACACCATCAGTGGTTTTGACCTTGAAAAGAGTCACCATTGGAATAAGCTTAAACCGCAGGCACAGGAGAGAAGTAACCACGTTTATCACATGGGATGTCTTGTTAGAAAAGCAATATGAATCCAACTAGATGTATGCAGGAGGGGTATCAATGAAACCCCTCTCTTCCTTAGAAGCTCTGAAAATCAGAAGCCTACATTCCATTTTGGGGGGCTACTGAGACCCCCCAGAGCTATCAGCTGTCTGCTATGGCTTTGTATTCCCCAAATCCCCTTCCAGATTCCCCCATTACTTATTAACAGTTCATTAGATTTGCCACAGTGCAATTTTCCAGCCTGCTGGGCTTCTCATGAATATACAAATGCTTTTTGGGGTGTTTCTTACACAGGGAGGCTCAATTAAGCAAGGATTATTTTCCAGCATCAGATTTAGCAGAAAGGAAGTACTACTAAGCAGAATTAACTTGTAGAGTTCAGCAGAGGCTTCTGCAAAGGGAAAATTGGCTGAACTAGACAAAGCCAAAGAAAAAACCTTAGGCACATGAATATTACCAAGGAACACAGTAGGGAAGGAAGTTAGGAACTCTTTTGGTGGTGGTGAACTCAAATTAGAATAAGACTTGTGTGAATTAAGCAGCACATTACTATTTAGAAGCCAAGAGGGCAAAGAAAAAGGACATTTGAACTAAGATGTAGACAAGGGTTTCTGCTTTTAAACTGCGTTGGTTGTAAAGTTATAGGACTACGAGAGACTCCATGAAAGGAATTCATTTTTGTTTGACATGCAAAATCTTCAGAGCCAAAATGCCATCACTGAATGAAAATGATGGAAATTACACTTGGATAATGCATGTTCCTGGCCTCTGAACTCTGCTGACACCCATCTCTCTTCCAGAAATATTTCCATCAGTCCCCTGTCTCCCCTACTGATTTCAGAATTAAGCTTTTTGGGAAGAATGTGCCGAGTCTGCCTAGCACACAGTTTAGTGTTTAGCAGATTTAACAGTAGCAATGATTATTGTATCAAAATCTCTGCAGAATCACTCCCCATCCATGTGGATGGTAAACACCTCCACCAGATCCTCCTAACTCCTCAGACTAAATTTCTTCTATGCTAACTTGTGTTCCCCAAAATGCTGACCACCTCACCTGAGAGCATATGTCATTCTGTCAGGGCGCACTGCTCTCAGAATAATCAGCTTCTGTATTAAACTTTTCTTCTTCCATTCTTGAGGTAATTTTTCTTTTTCTGGACACTCGGATTCTACCCACTTCCTCCACTGCTTGGCAGATCCTTCCACATCCCGGTCTATGCCTCGAAACGCTTCCAGGAGGGCGATTGCCTGTAATGAGATAGGGAAACAAGTAGGAATGGTGTGAAAGGTATTCTATAGTTTGAGATGAAGACTTGTGAATGTATCTAATCTTATACAAAGACCTCATGCTGTGAGGTCAGGAGTTCGAGATCAGCCTGGGCAACATAGTGAAACCCTGTCTCTACTAAAAATACAAAAATTAGCTGGGCAAAATGGCATGTATCTGTAGTCCCAGCTACTTCTGAGGCTGAGGCAGGAGAATCACTTGAACCCGAGAGGAGGAGGTGAGGAGGTTGAGGGGAGTTGAGATCGTGCCATGCACTCCAGCTTGGCCAACAGAGCAAGACTCAGTCTCAACCAAACCAAACCAAACCAAACCAAACCAAACCAAACCAAACCAACAACAAAAACGTGCTGGATACGGTTCACTTTCCTCTCCAGATTTCTTCCTTTCTGTTTTTGTTTTTCGCTCTGCTAAGAGGGTGAGCTCAAAGGACAGTTGAGCTAAGTTCTCTAGTTCCCTAACCTGGTTGGGTTTGGCCAAAAGAAAGCAACGGTAGGAGCCTGGAGGACTGGAGAAGAGAGAGGAGGGGGTCCTTCTGTCAGAGGCATTTGAACCAGAGCAACCCCATCTTGAATAGGAGCTGGGTAAACTGAGGCTGAGACCTGCTGGGCTGCATTCCTAGCAGGTTAAGGTATGAGTCACAGGATGAGACAGGAAGTTGGCACAGGATACAGGTCATGAAGACCTTGCTGATAAAACAGCATGCAGTAAGGAAAATGGCTAAAACCCACCAAAACCAAGATGGTGATGAGGGTGACCTCTGGTTGTCCTCACTGCTACACTGCACCAGTCCCGTGACAGTTTACAAATGCCATGGCAACATCATCTAGTTACCCTATATGTTCTAAAAGGGGAGGCATGAATAATCTACCCCTTGTTTAGCATAATCATCAAGAAATACCATCAAAATGGGCAACCAGCAGCCCTTGGGACTACTCTGCCTATGGAGTAGCCATTCTTCATTCCTTTCTTAATAAAATTGCTTTCACTTATGGACTCACCCTGAATTCTTTTTTGCGCCAGATCCAAGAACCTCTTTTGGGGTCTGGATCAGGACCCCTTTCTGGGAACGTTTCTATCTCAGCTCTTTCTTGCGGGACTGTGGTTTGCTAGTGACCATGTTTCTCGGCCACAGGCCACAGATTCCGTGTGACTGGCTCTCTTCCACAACTTCATTTCTCAGTAGTTCCAGTAACTGTCCTTTTCCTCCTTTTTCCCTCCCCCTCTCCTGGTTGATTTCCTCTTCTTGCCCATGCTATGGAAATATACTCTTGGTTAAACTTTCTTCATCACCCTTTTGAATGTGCCATCTGTTTCCTGCTGAGACCCTGACTAATACACACTTGAACTTGATTTTTGAATTCTAAATTTACAATCTAATTACAAATACTAATTTAGAAAGCTGAACATATATAAAAATAAGAGGTAGCACAGTTATTTTGAATGCAGAGAAATGTTTCCTTCTTAGAAAAAAGAGTGGGGCAAAGCTTAACCCATGTTGAACATCATTAAGAAACTCCAGATCCTAGGAGAATTAGCTCCTAACAATAGGACTTTTGACAGAAAAATGCAATGAGGATTGATAATTAAGGCTTATGATAATGGTCACTTTTTTCTCTACACTATTCTGTTTTGCTTAAACATTTTACAATGAGAATAAACTACTCTATTGTGGTATAATTTAAATAGCTATTTAGAAAAACAGAAAAATAATTTAAAAAGAAAACAAAGTAGATATAAGGAAAATTTTAAAAATATTCCTTTGCATCACTTGGCTTTTATCAAAGGTCCTGACAGATTGTACATATTTATTAACTTTCTACCCACACTTAAGTCAAAGGCTCCTTTACATCTAAATGAGAAATTAACCAATTTAATAATAAAAAGATTCACTAAATAACATCACATTATATAGTGCATTTCTACAACTGAGATGGTGCTTAATACATCACCTGTATTCTTTAATGTTTACATTTCAACCCTGGAGACAGCTAATATTTTAAAGAAGATCTAGAAATTGAGAAACTGTATTCCTAACATACCTTGATAGCACTCCATGACTGAGTAGTTAGGAAGTCAACGGGACTCAGATGAGTGTGTTCAACCTTGAATCGAAGCAGGAAATCCAATTCAAGGGGGTCTATCTCTTTCTTTCTCAACAAAATCTTGAGAGTAGACAAAATTGAAAAGGATTATTTGGTTTACATCAAAATCATGACACAGGAAGTAGTCACACATTTAACAGACATGACTGAGTAGGCCAAACCATACCTGCAGATAATTCTGGCTGAAATCTGTTCTACTGTTGAAATAGGGGATCTTAGATTATGTCAATGATCTCAAAACCATGATCAGAAATCTAACGGAAAATAATTGTGAAGGCTGATTTATTCCAATTCTAACACCTATCCCTATTGGCAACATATTTTAAACATGCATTTGTAATTATTTTATTATTAGATCAAACACGTCTTAACACATATAAAATGAGAAAGCCTCAGGTGACAACAGATTAAATTACTCAACAGAAGGCAGAACCAGTATTATTAGTTAATTCTGATATAGTAGTTATTCAATAAACTCTGAGGTACATGAAGGTTTTTTTAATATGTAAGATTATATTGAAAAGAATGAGAAAATACTTTATAGGTACAACTAAACAAACACTGTGACGTGGAATAAACTTTAGACATTCTAGTCATAGAACTGATAGAAAGTCCACAGTATATTTTGGAGAGTATAAAGTATTCCTAATTTTCATATAAAAACCTTAACAGGCTGGGCATGGTGTCTCACACCTGTAATCCTAACATTTTGGGAGGGTGAGGCGGGTGGATCATTAGGTCAGGAGATCGAGACCATCCTGGCCAACATGGTGAAACCCCATCTCCACTAAAAATACAAAAATTAGGCCGGGCGCGGTGGCTCACCCCTGTAATCCCAGCACTTTGGGAGGCCGAGGCGGGTGAATCATAAGGTCAAGAGAGCAAGACCATCCTGGTCAACATGGTGAAACCCCGTCTCTACTAAAAATACAAAAAATTAGCTGGGCATGGTGGCGCGTGCCTGTAATCCCAGCTACTCAGGAGGCTAAGGCAGGAGAATTGCCTGAACCCAAGAGGCCGAGGTAGCGGTGAGCCGAGATCGTGCCATTGCACTCCAGCCTGAGTAACAAGAGCAAAACTCCGTCTCAAAAGAAAAAGAAAAAAAAAAAAATACAAAAATTAGCCGGGCGTGGTGACACACACCTGTAATCTCAGCTACTTGGGAGGCTGAGGGAAGAGAATCGCTTGAACCAGGGAGTTAGAGGTCGCAGTGAGCCGAGGTTGTGCCACTGCACTTCAGCCTGGTGACAGAATGAGACTCTGTCTCAAAAAAAATCCCAAAATAACAACAATAAAATATCCCGTAACACCCCACAAAGCTAACCAGGTAAAGTTTTTGAGCTTTGTATTATCTTTAAATTCCAGATATTTTCAAAAGGTGTTACGAGTGATAGCATGCCATTAAAATATTTTAATAGATTTTTTAAAATTGAGTTTATTTCAACAAACAAGTAACTATCCATACAGTTATGAAACTTTGATTTATATAGATTGTCAGGACTTGAGATAGATTATGATATAGCTATGGCTTCCAAGGAGAAGTTTTAAATAGATGTTCATGTCATATGTTATCATCCCTGGCCTTTTCCTATTAATGAGCAGTACATATAAAAACAAGTATTTCACACCTGTAATCCCAGCACTTTGGGAGGCTGAGGTGGGCGGATCATGAAGTCGAAAGATTGAGAACACCCTGGCCAACATGGTGAAACCCCGTCTCTGCTAAAAATATGAAAATTAGCTGGGTGTGGTGGCACATGCCTGTAATCCCAGCTATTCGGGAGGCTGAGACAAGAAAATCACTTGAACCCAGGAGGCAGAGGTTGCAGGGAGCCCAGGTGGCACCACTGCATTCTAGCCTGGAGACAGAGCCAGACTCCGTGTCAAAAAATAAAAATAAAATAAAAAATAAACAAACCAATAAATCAAACAAGTCTTTCATTGTGTAATGCCTTGTTCCTGTTTATCACATACATTCTAAAACACCCATACCTGTATATTCTTACGGAGCCCAGAGGAATCTGTGAATACCAAAAGTATTGAAAGAGAAGTCATAGCTTATCATTAACTGCAGGTGTGTATAAAGTGCCTTCTTTGGCACACACAGAATAGTTAAGATATATACCTTTCCTTAACAATTGGATAGAAAAAGCCATAAAGCCAACTAGCTGATAAAAGGACAACCTGCTTATTTTATCTAGGAAAATGGTCTGGAAGGGTTTCCTTTTTCTTATCACAAACACTTTTATTTAAACAAAGTCTTTCATAGAAATTCACGTAAAAAAGAAAAAAAAAAGAAGCTGGTCTCGCTGAAGATTTGGGCAGGAAACCTGGAGCTCTACTTACTCACTACTGTCATTTTCTGAATTTCAACTGACAAACAGTAATTATATATCTTTATGTGGTACAGAGTGATGCTTTGATACATGTTTATATTGTAGAATGGTTAAGTTAAGCTAATTCGTCAGCTCACATACCTGTTTTTGTGATGAGATTTAAAATCTACTCCTTTGGCAATTTAAAAATACACATTATTAACTACACACAATGGAAAAAAAAAGAAAATTTGGTTATTTGTGACAACATGGATGAACCAGTCACTGTTTTATAAGGAGACTCTGAAAAATTCCCAGCTCTACTCAGATCTGGACTCACAACCCTGATCTCAAAGAATCTTCCTGGTAGTGCTTGGAAGTGTCTTTACAGGACCCGAGAAGGTGAGAAAATGTCTCATGAGTGTTTTTCAGGGTGAGCACTGTGGTGGAGCTTAATGTACATACCTCTCCCCCCCCCCCGGCCCCTCACTCTCCAAACCAATGCACTGGGACCTAGAAGGCGGTGGTCACATGCCCAAGTTTCCTATGGAATGCAAGGTCTCCTCATGCTACCAAGGGCTTCCAAAAAAGGTATCTACATTTTGCTTGAGCAGAAATAAAATATATAATGTACAGAGGCAACTGCCTTTTGTTCTGGGATCCTTTTTCAGTAACTGATCTCCTTACCTGAAAAGCCATTTGGGACAGGAAGGTGAGCTTGTCCTTTTCAAACAGCGCCTGGCTGGTGTAGAGGAAGATGGCGTGGGTGACGTTCTCCATCAGGGTATAGATGCGTCCCTGCATATCTTCCACCTTGTCAGCCTGCTCGATCGCTCTGTGGAACAGCACGTTAAAAGCCTGGGAAATTTAATGTGACCATTAAAATGGGATAGTTGGTGCCTGGATGTCTAGCTAGCACCAGATACACAAGGCAGCAGTTTAAGGTTTATCTACAGGGAGTGCAAATGAGTCAAAATTTTTAGGAGGATTATAGTTTCTGGCACATGGTATGTGCTCATTATTAAATGTTTGCTGTCATTACTGTTATTATTAATATGATTCCATGAAATTCATTCACATCTCCTTCCAAGCAACTGAATTGCATCATTTTCTCTCCTTCTGCCCACGCACTTAAAACAAGTTTTTAATATTTGTGATAAGATACACATAACATAAAAGTTCCCATCTTAACAATTTTAAGTGTACATACATTCAGTGCAGTAGTGTTAAGTATATTCACATTCTTGTGCAACCAATCTCCAGAATTGTGTTTTTCATAAACATGAATTATACTGTTTAACGCAGACTCAAGGCCATACGTTTTCAGGGGAGTAGGTTTTACTTGCAGTATAGATTCTCCTCATATAAGACTACAAAAATATAACACAATGTGAAGAGCCCAATTTAAAAATTACACGTGGCAGTCCATATTAACACAAATAGCACCCAAAGAAAAAGAAAAGCTAAATCCAGTGTCACTAGAACTCCACAGCTTTTTCATTTTGTAAAACTGAAGCTCTGTACCCATTAAACGACTATATATTCTCCCTTCCCCCAGTCCCTGGCAACCACCCTATTCTGCTGTTTCTATGAGTTTGACCATTAGAGGTACCTCATGGATATGGTTTGGCTGTGTCCCCACCCAAATATCATCTTGAATTATAGCTCCCATAATTCCCACGTGTAGTGGGTGGAGGGGACCCAGTAGGATATAACTGAATCATTGGGGTGGTTTTTCCCATACTATTCTGGTGGTAGTGAATAAATCTCTTGGGATCTGATGGTTTTATAAGGGGAAACCCCTTTCACTTGGCTCTCATTCTGTCTTGCCTGCTGCCATGTAAGAAGTGCCTTTTACCTTCTGCCATGATTGTGAGGTCTCCTCAGCCACAAGGAATTGTGAGTCCATTAAGCCTCTTTTTCTTTATAAATCACCCAGTCTCTTGGGTATGTCTTTATCAGCAGTGTGAAAATAGACTAATACACTCAAATAAGCAGAGTCATAGTCTTTCTGTGATTGGCTCATTTGAGTTAGGATAATATCCTCAAGGTTCATTCATGTTGTAGCATGTATGAGAAATTTCTTCATTTTTAAGGCAAAAGAATATCCTATTACATGCGTATACAACATTTGATTAATCTATTCAGCCACTTATGGACATCTGGGTTGCTTCTACCTTTGGCTATTGTAAATAATGCTGCAATAAATTTGGGTGTTTGGAAATCTCCTAGAGACCCTCTTTTGATTCTTTTCGACATATAGCTAGAATTGCTTTATCACATGGTAATTCTAATTTTAATTTTTCTGAGAAATTGCTACACTGTTTTCCATAGTGGCTGTACCATTTTGCATCCCCACTGACAGATTCCAATTCTCCATTTTCTTTGATAGAAGCCATTCTAATGTGTGTGTGAGCTGATATCTCATTGTGGTTTTGATTTGCATCTCTCTAATAATTGGTAATGTTGAACATTTTTTCATATATTTGTTGACTTTTTTTTTTGAGACAAAGTTGCATTCTGTCATCAGGCCTGGAGTGCAGTGAAGTGATCATGGCTCACTGCAGCCTCAACCTCCAGGTCCTAAGTAATCCTCCCACCTCAGTCTCTTGAGTAGCTAGGCCACAGGCATGTGCCATCACACGTGGCTAATTTTTAATTTTTTTTTTTTTTGGTAGAGATAGAGTTTCTCTGTGTTGTCTGAGTTTGTTGACCATTTTAATAAGATTTTTAGAGAAATGTCCACTTATGTCCTCATCCTATTTTAAAATCTGGTTTTGTGCTGGGTTTTTGCTTTTGTTTTTGTTTTATTCCCATGTACTTTTGGGATGCCCTTGGTTATCTATTATTCCTTTAAAGACCACTCTTGATTTTTATTACTGCAGTTCATGCCTTGATGATAATGGTGTCATATGGATTGTTTTATCTCTCTCTATAAATATAAATTTTAAAAATATATCTATATATATAAGTAGCTATAAATATAAAATATCTTTTTATTTATTCATTTTTGGATAATAGGGACCAGAGACCACAGATTAATTCACCTTGAAGTGTGTGTATTTAAGTGAAACTAAAATCCTACAAGGACAGATACATACAGCAAATTTTGCTAAGAAGGCATTAACGAAGCATAGCTTGAATATGTCTTATCTGAAATGCTGGGGGCTGGAAGTGTTTCAGATTTTAGATTTTTTTCAGATTTTTGATTATTTGCATATACATAAATGAGATATCTTGGGGATGGAACCCAAGTTTAAACACAGTCATTTATAGGCTGGGTGTGGTTGCTCATGCCTGTAATCCCAGCACTTTGAGAGACAGAGGCTGAGGCAGGTAGGTCACCTGAGGTCAGGAGTTTGAGACCAGCCTAGCCAACATGGCAAAACTCTGTCTCTACTAAAAATATAGAAATTAGCTGGGCATGGTGGTGGGCACCTCTAGTCCCAGTTACTGCAGAGGCTGAGACAGGAGAATCGCTTCAACCTGGGAGGTGCAGGCTGCAGTGAGCTGAGATCGCACCACTATATTCCAGTTTGGGCAACAGAGAGACTGTCTCAAAAAAACAAAATGAAACAAAACGAAAAAACAAAATTCATTTATGCTTCGTATACACCATATACACATAGCCTGAAGTTAATTCTATACAATATTTGAAATAATTTTGTGCATGAAGTGCATGAGATCAAGTATGGAATTTTCTACTTGTGGCATCATGTCAGCATTCAAAAAGTTTCAGATTTTGGAGCATTTTTGTTTTTGGATTAGGATGCTCAATCTGTACTAACCTGATATTTACACTTTTTAATCGGTTTTTCATTTACATACAATAAAATGTGCCTATTATATGTACAGTTTGATGTGTCATGACAGATACATTCCAATAATAACTGTAGCAATCAGGATACAGAACCCTTCTACTTACATCGCCACAAGAAGTTGTCATGTGCCTATGTACAGCTAATTCCCACCACCATCCCTAGCCCTGGTCAAATACTGATCTACCTCTGTCATTGTTGATTAATTTTTCCTTTTCTATAATTTCACATAAATAACATCGTAAGGTAGATACTCCACAGTATCCAACTGCTTCTTTTCAACATAATGTTTTGGTGACATATCCATGTTGTTGTGTGTATCAGCAATTCATACCTGCATGTTTTGAGTAATAGCCTACTGTGAGAACATGCCAAATCTGCGTCACTATTAATGTGTCAGTCCTTTGGATTGTTTTCAGACTTTGGCTATTATGAATAAAGTGTCTATGAACATTTGTTAACAAGCTTTTTGCAGGCATTCATTGTTATTTCTCTTAGGTAAACGCCTGAAGTAAAAGTGTGAGATCATACTGTAACTATGTATTTATAAGATATTGCCCAACTGCTTTCCAAAATGGTTTATTGCATTCCCTCCAGCAATGTGAGAGAGTTGCAGTACAATATCAGTGCTATACTTGGTATTAACAGTCTACTAGAATTCTTCTTAAATTTTACCCATTCTATGGGACATAGAATAAGACCTTATTCTTCTTTCATTTTGCATTTTTCTGATGACTGATGAGCATTTTTAATGTGCTTGTGGATAATATATGTATGTTATTATATGATATGTCTGTTCAACTCTTTTTACTGAGTTTTACAAGTTCTTCATGTATCCTGATACAAGTTCTTTGCTGTATATATATGTATGGGGAATACTGTCTTTTATTAAAATTATTCCCAAAAAGTTTCATGGTTTTGGAAGCCACTATAAATAGTGCTAAGATACTTATTTTATTTTCCACTTGTTTCTCATGTATATAAATACAAGCGACTTTGTATATTAAACTTACATCCTGCAACCTTGCTAGAAATTTACTTCTTAGTCCTAGCAGGTGGTGAGTTTCTTAGGATTTCTATATACATAATTGGGCGATCTGTGAAAAAAGAAAGTTTTTCTTTTTTTTTTTTTTTAAATCTCTTGCCTTTTATTGTCTTATTGTACTGACTATAACTTCCAGTGCAGTGTTGAATAGATGTGCTGAGAGAAAGTTATCTTTGTTTTGTTCCTGATTTTAGGGAAAAGCATTCAACTTTCAACATTAAGTATAATGCTAGGTGTAGATGTTTTCTAGATGTATTTTATCATGTTGAGAAGTTACCATCTATTTATTAGTTGAGAGTTGGGGGTTTTTTAAAACTCATTTGTTAAAATTTTTCAAGTTCTTTGCATCAACTGAAACAATCATATGAGCTTTTTTCTTTTATTCTGTTAACTATTTACACTTCGTGATTTTTATTTTTTATTATTTTATTTATTTTTATTTTATTTTTTGAGATGGAGTTTTGCTCTGTCACCAGGGTAGAGTGTGGTGGCATGAACTCGGCTCACTGCAACCTCTGCCTCCTGGGTTCAAGCCACTTTCCCACCTCAGCTTCCTGAGTAGCTGGGAATACAGGCACGCACCACCTCGCCCAGCTAGTTTTTGTATGTTAAGCAGAGACAGGGTTTTACCATGTTGGCCAGGATGGTCTAGCTCTCTTGACCTCGTGATCTGCCCACCTTGGTCTCCCAAAGTGCTGGAATTATAGGCGTGAGACACTGTACTCGGTCATACTTCATGATTTTTGAAAGTTAAGCCAATTTGATTCTTGGCATACATTCTATTTGCTCATAATATGTTGTACGTTTTATATGTGGTCGGATTCAATTTGCCAATATTTTCTGGAGGAGTTTTCCACAATGTTTACAAGGGGAAATATCCAATATTTTTCTTTTATTGTAAAGCTTAGTGTAGTTTTGGCATTTGGGTAATACTGAGCTGACACTGCTGATTTGGTTTTATTCTTCTTCTCATACACAGTTACTTTCAAACTCCAACCACACTGTGCTTGTTAAAAGTTCTGCATACTAGTTCATACTATTAGGAAACCTGCTAGTTATGCGTGACCCTTTCCTCTTCATCATAACCAGTCCATCTCCAAGAGCCAGTGATTCCAGCTTCAAATCATATCTCAAGTCTGTTCACATCTCTCTGAGTCTTTTGCCATCATACCAGTTATCTACTTTAAATCTTCCAACGGCTTCTCGTTGCATACAGAATGTAATCCCCAAATCCCTCAGTGGTCTACAAAGCTCTGTGTGATCAAGTCCTTTCCACCTCTCTAGATTATTTTCTTACTACCTTCCCCTTGCTCATTGCCCTCCAGCCACAGAGATTCACTCACTACCTGGAATCCCTGAATTATTTCATCTCACACATTCGTGTTTTCTCCAAATGCTCTTTAAATACCTAAGTCCGACTTATCTTTCAGAAATAAATGTTACTTCCTCTGGAAGGCCTTCTCTGACCCCCAGTAAAGCAGCCTCTCCATCCCTATCATTCTTTCTTATGGTATTTTCTGCTTTTATAAACAGATGTATGTTCATAAAGGTGGAACTATACCTATGTATACAGGTATATCTATATGTATCTACATATACATATAGCTCCACCCATTTTTTTCTCCCAAAACTATACACTCAAGTGAAAAGCATCTGAAATGATGACTGACCACAATAAGCAACTGTCTATAAACTGATGAACAGATGTATAGAATGAATGAGCTCGGCCCAGCAGGCAGCAGATGATAAAAGGTATAGAGCATGGGCTTTGGAAAGAGTTACAGGTTGAAATGCTGGCTCTTACAGTAACAAATACGAATTCTTGGGCAATTTATTTGAAATCTAAAAATGTCATCATTACTTTTTTAAGGGGGATGAAATTATATGCTTTATGAGATGAACAGGGATAAAGAATCAGCCAAAGTATAAAACGCCTTGCATGTAATAGTGACTTAATAGTTGTTCTCATTATTTTTCTTTCTTTAGCAAAGAAATATGAGCATTTTCTTTCCAAGACACATTTTTCACAAAGACAAAATAGGAGTCTCAAGAAAAATTCCCTTAAATTTAAAAGTCTGCTTAGGAGCAATACACCAATATAATATGATGCCATATCCATAGTTTAATTACTTCAAAGTTTTACTGAAAATTATATACGAAAATTCCTGAGAATGAGGATTTTGCTTTTGTTATTTTGTTAACCAGATCCTCATGACTCCTTACTGGGTACAGTGATTGCTTAAAAATACATTCCAGCCGTGCGTGGTGGTTCACACCTGTACTCTCAGCACTTTGGGAGGCCGAGATGGGTGGATCACTTGAGGCTAGGAGTTCAAGACAAGCCTGGGCAATGTGTCAAAACCCTGTCTCTACTGAAAACACAAAAATTAGCCAGGCATGGTGGCACACTCCTGTAGTCCTAGCTATTCAGGTGACTGAGGCAGGAGAATTGCTTGAACCTGGGAGGCAAAAGTTGCAATGAGTTGAGATCATGTCACTGCACTCCAACCTGGGCTACAGAGTGAGACTCTGTCTCAATAATAATAGTATTATAATTATTAATAAAATAAATTTCAAATTTCCAGAAACAAACTGAACTCCTAGATTTCTGTATTTCTTAGCTACTTCAGCATTACCTTCAAAGAGAATTGGTAGATGGGGTTGATTTTTTGGAGGTCATTAATAACAAAATAAAGAAGAGATGCTCTTGCCGCCACTGGTCTGTAACATTCGCGGGCCTCGTTGATTTTTCTTTCATTTTCTTTGGCCTCAATCACCTATGGTGGGATCAAACAAAAAAAGTAACTTATTTACTCTTCATATTCTCTACACACATCCAAGGAATGGAAGGATGTACCCGAAATGAAAAATTATCAGTATTAAAATAGGTAACATGCATGGCATCCACGTGCTCAAGCTTTTCTAAATTCATATTAAAAAATTTTTTTTTTCATAAGCTGAGTTTCAGGGAGAAGGGACTTAACTCTAGCGGTTTTAGAGGCCACAGATTAAACAAACCTAATTGTTTTTGGGTCTACAAAATTTGTTTCTGAGTAATGTCACCTTCCTGCCTCCCCTCTCTCTTTCAAGGCTTAATAACCCAGCTATATCACCTCCCAGGGATGGCTCTTAAAAGTCTGCTGGGTCAATTCAATGCCAATAACTTTATTAGGCTACGAGGTATACAAAAGCAGACAAGGTCAATAATACATCCAGTAACTGTGCTGACTAAAAAGCCTTTATATGAAGACTCTCATGCCTAATTCTAACTTTGCACTGGATCATCCATATGTCCACATATTTCCATTTAGTTTATCTTTATATATTAGCCTCTGGGTAGATTCAGAGATAGTTAAAAAATTATAAACACCACCACCATCAACCAACATATTCAGTTTTACTCAAAGCTCAAATACCTATTTCTTTTATCTAAGACTACTGCTGGTCCTACAGGATACAGTATTTTCCCCAACCTTCTCTATAGACTTGACTCATAATATTTGTGTATAAAAGGAAATAAAATGTAGGGCTGAGAAGAAAGTCACTACATGGTGATGTATTAAGAAGATAGGAAGAGGCCTGGCGTGGTGGCTCAAGCCTGTAATCCCAGCACTGTGGGAGGCCGAGGTCGGGTGGATCACGAGGTCAAAAGATCAAGACCATCCTGGTCAACATGGTGAAACCTTGTCTCTACTAAAAATACAAAAAATTAGCTGGGCATGGTGGCGCGTGCCTGCAATCCCAGCTACTCAGGAGGCTGAGGCAGGAGAATTGCCTGAACCCAGGAGGAGGAGGTTGCCGTGAGCCGAGATCGCGCCATTGCACTCCAGCCTGGGTAACAAGAGCGAAACAAACAAAAAAAAGAAGATAGGAAGACATATTTTAAGAGACAATTAGAAGTTAACTTCAAAGCTAAGTTAATTTACTTAGTTGCTCTAATCTTTGCCATCTCAGGAGCCACCTAGAATTCACTTACTTGAAAAGACAGAGTAATTGGGGATTCCATTTCCTTGCTTAATTTAAGACAAATATACAGGATGTGTAGTAACATAGCTTCTCCTGGGTAATTAATAACTACTTACTAATATGGATATTCCAGAAAGCAAATGAGGGTCTAATTCTCACTGCAACAATGGAATTTTAAGGGTTAATGGTCATTTGTGAAAGTCCTAAGTGTGTATCACACGTAAGGCATACTGGGAACCATGTTGGACATTAGCCGGAAGGCTATTCAATGAAAATTTCTACTGCCATTTAGGAAATGTCATTTTTCCTGTGGTGAATAGTGCATTTGAGTGCAGCAGGAGACCATCCTTTGTTTAGTATCCTGCCATGGCAGGCATATAAACAAAACTTCTAAGAATTTCTCTGAAATGTCCAGCAGCCTGGAGAACCTGCAGAGAAACTGTAGGATGCCAGTTTGGTAGAGCTGGTTGCTAAGGCTTTTCAGATTTTCAGCCATGGAAGCCAGCAGGCCTCAATTTTCTTCACATCTGGTTGCCCAGGAAAAATAATAGCCAGACAGTGTCTAATCTGAATGAGATCTTTATGGAATTAGAAGAAGCACACATTCAACCATCTCCATCTCCATTAAGAATCCCACACAGTCCAATTGCAGCTTATTAAATCACCTGAATTCCACACGCTGGTCCTCTTCGAGGAATTAACAAGTCTGATTACACTGCCACCCACCCCATGTACCTCATTCAAACAGAGCCTTAGAACCTGCCAGGCATCCTCAGCCTTTCCTACCTTGTGCTCTATCTCTGCCGCGGTGGCCTTTGTCGCCTCCAATCTCTCTACCAGTTTGGTGTCATCCAGAAAGCTTCCCTCTGCTGCAGAAAGGCGCAAAAGGAGGTCGTCTTCCAGATACTTGAGCTCAATCTTAAAATCATTTTGGTGCTTTGTCAATACCAACTAATACAAACCAAGAAAAGTGTGAGAAATGGTGGTTAAGTACATGTTTGTTTGTTTTGAGAGGGAGTCTTAATCTGCTGCCCAGGCTGGAGTGCAGTGGCATGATCATGGCTCACTGCAACCCCTGCCTTCTAGGTTCAAGCAAATCTCCTACCTCAGCCTCCCAAATAGCTGGGATTACAGGCACGTGCCACCATGCCCAGCTAAGTTTTTGTATTTTTAGTAGAGACGGGGGTTTCACCATATTGACCAGGATGGTCTTGATCTCTTGACCTCGTGATCCACCCGCCTCGGCCTCCCAAAGTGCTGGGATTACAGGCTTGAGCCACCGCGCCCGGGCGAGAATTTACATTTAAAGCAAATTTGCATCAGCACTAGCTGATGGTAATGTTGCTGTTCCAGGACCCAGAGTTTGAAAACAATGGATTTATACCAGGGTGGCAATCTTTTTCTGCAAAGGGCCAGATAGTAAATACTTCAGGCTAAAAGGTCTCTGTTGCAACTAAAGCAGTCATAGACAATATGTAAATATATGAACACTCTGTGTTTTCAGGTTTTTTTTTTTTTTTTTAAAGACAGAGTCTTGCTGTGTCCTCCAGGCTGGAGTGTAGTGACACTATTCTGGCATATTGCAACCTCCAACCCTCTGGGGTCAAGTGGTTCTTATGCCTCAGCCTCCCAAGTAGCTGGGACTACAGTTGTGCATCACCACACCTGGCTATTTTTTTGTATTTTTAGTAGAGACAGGGTTTCATCATGTTGGCCAAGCTGGTCTCAAACTCCTGGCCTCAAATGATCCACTCACCTCAGTTTTCCAAAGTGCTGGTATTATAGGTCTAAGCCACTGTGCTTGGCCATGGCTGTGTTTTAATAAAACTTTATTAATAAAAAGAGGTGGCAGGCCAAATAGTTTGTGGACCCCTAATTTATACTAAGAAAAAGTATTCTAGCTTAGTTATTCAAAATATGAATAATGTTCATCTGTGGAAAGAAATCCCTTCAATTTCCAAAATGCAGGACATAGATCTCTAACATCTGAAATATCAATCCTTGTTTTAATTCTTAATATATCTCATTTAAATGTTTGAGATACACTATTGCCAGATTTGCCCATTACCACATAAATTATTTTTAATTTTCACATCACCATTTCAATTTTCAACTTCATTGTTAGAAAGCTGAGCACAGCATTCCTTTATATATTTTAATCTGTGTAGTGATGTGCCTTTTTCTTTGTTTACTTGCCTTTTCTCTTTCACTCTTCACTAGCCCTTATGGAGGTATATCTACTTTATCACTTCCTCACCCCTTCTTGCCAAAGAACTATCTTTTTATTTTGTTCATCTTTTGTTTCTCTATCTTCTTTGTCATTATTTTCTGATTTTATCTTTATTATTGCCTTTTTTCTGCATTTCAAGGCTATGTTGTTTTGTTTTCTGTACATAACACCGATTTTAATTATTTTCAGCATTGTTTCTTAATATATTAGGGCCATAAATGTCCCTTTGTATACTAGTCATAACTAGCTACCAGGTCCTTAATTTTTCCAAGTTTATTTCATTTCTTCATTCTTTTGCCCAGGCTAAATTAGTCAATTACCTTCCAACCTACCTGGGCACATACCTGCTTCTATACCTCTTATTTTCCATCACTTGTATGCCTCTTTGTTTGCCCCAGTCCTATGCCTCAAACAAGATCTAGAGCCAGCCTATTTCCTACTTGTGGCATAACTGTAACAATCTAGCATTTATAAAGAGCAACTTTGAGTTGTTTAATTTTTAATGTGTATACTTATTTTTCCTAATTAGACTGCAAGATTCTAGAGGGCAAGAATCCTATTTTATACTTGTGTGTCTAGCACTATGATTTGTGCAAAGCAAGTGCTGTGTAAGTGTTAGTGGTGACATAAACATTTTTACCTTAAGTTTCTCCAAATCTGGCCTTTCAATACTGACAACCTCTGCCAGCAGCTGTGCTTCTAGACCATCTTCCGTGACTGTGAAATTGAGGAGAGTTGTCTGAGCTTGTAATTCCGGCTTATAGTGAGGATTTGCCAATTTTGTGTGAAGGATAAGGCGAAAGTTCTTGTTAAATTCACATTCTTTATCTCCGATCCTGATATACCTAAAGGGAGGATAACACAGATTTTCAGGAGATTTCTATGAACCATAACTGATACTAAGGTGTCATTCCATTCCTTTTTTCTTTTTTTTTTTTTTTGAGACAGAGTCTTGCTCTGTCAGGTGCCAGACTGGAGTGCAGTGGCGCAATCTTGGCTTACTGCAACCTCTGCCTCCTGGGTTCAAGCAATTTTTCTGCATCAGCCGCCTGAATAGCTGGGATTACAGGCATGCGCCACCATGCCCAGCTAATTTTTTTTGTATTTTTAGTAGAGACGGGTTTCACCATGTTGGCCAGGATGGTCTCGATCTCCTGACCTTGTGATCCACCTGCCTCAGCCTCGCAACATTCCTGTATTCTTATAACGGCCAGAAGCCAGGTGATTTAGAATTTTTTCAGCTGCTCCCAAATTTTCTGAAGTACAGCAGGATCAGCAATCACCCACCAAATCACTATATGATTAAGTTTCCTCATATGTGAAATGGTGACAATAGTACTCACCTCACAGTGTCACTATGAGAATTAAATACAATCATATAAAGGACCTATAACAACATATGTAACTCCTCAATGTCGTGGATAAACTCTTGCAAACTGTGACTTTAAGCAAAACGCCATATGAGCTAACCAGTTTTGCCACAGGCTAATTGATATAAACAAGACTGGAGTTCCTACCGCATGTTTCTGGTCACAAAAACATCATCAATCTTCTAAATAAAGGCCCCAAACACTTCTAATATGAAACACTGAAATAAACATGAGCTACACATACACTTAAAAAGGTTAATAATAATAAGTAAGGTCATTATTTACTCCTTAATGAGAAATGGTGGGCATGGAGGGGTGGGTTCCATTGAGAAGTAAACGCGTGCGAAGCAGGAGATCTTCAGTAGCACCTCCTACCACCACGCGATTCAAAAACAGTGACAGCTCTGGCAGTCTTGAGAAGGGCTTTTGTACTGCAACGTTTAGTGTTGTGCATTTGTATGATTATCATCTACCTTACAATTTTTTATTTGACAATAATTTTCATTTACTCATTCCTTCCTTTTCCAACCCACTGGCTGCAGTTCAGGCTCATGGGCAGCTAGAGCCTACCCTGGTGGCTCAGGGTGCCAGGTGGGAACCAGGCCTGGAGAGGATGTCATCCCAATGCAGAGGATGTCATCCCAATGCAGGGCCACTCGCACACCCCACTCTCACTCACACTGGGACCACCAGGTAGACACTCCAGCTCATCTAATGTGCACAGCTGTGGGATACGGGAGGAAATAGGAGGACAAGAGGAAACCCAGGCAGACACAGGGAGCATGTGCAAACTCCACACAGACAGTGGTCCCAGCAAGCCGGAAGTGATTTTTTTTTCCATTGACATTATAATGAAAGAACGTTATTTCAGGGCCAGCTGTACTTTCTGTGATTAAATGTACATTAAATGCTATTCTTTAAGGATAAGATAAAATGTGTATGTATGTGTTTATGTATATCTGTATATATGTATATGTGTGTGTATATATAACATATATACAGATATACATAAGTGTATATGTTAAATAATGTATTAAAATATTTTTTATAAAGATGAAATATTAAAAACATATATATTCTCTTTCGTTTTAAGACAGTCTCACTCCTTCACCCAGGCTGAAATGCAGTGATATAATCTCGGCTGACTGCATCCTCCAAGTGATTCTTGTGCCTCAGCCTCCTGAATAGCTGGGATTACAGGTGTGTATTAACACACCCAGCTAATTTTTGTATTTTTAGTAGAGATGGGGTTTTGCCATGTCGGCCAGGCTTGTCTCAAACCCCCGACCCCGTGATCCACCCATCTTGGCCTCTCAAAGTGCTGGGATTACAGGTGTGAGCCACTGCGCCTGGCCCCAAACACATATATTCTTAAAATGACTTTCCAATACTTTCGGCAATGGCCTCCTGTAACTGCAAATGCTTGGTTGCCTCAATATCTCTACTTAACCCTTTCCTCTGAAAATGATTTCTGTAAACAGTCACTATGCTAATTCTATTCAAAGCTCCCAGCTTAATTTATGTTTTTTCTTTTGAAATTTTAAGGGTACATAGTATTATATGTATTTGTGCAGTATATGAGATGTTCTCCTACAGGCTTTATGGTCACTTTCCTGCGAGGAACCTGCTATGAGGATCTAGTAAAGGGTGAGCTTTCTAATTCATGCAAGAGACAGAGAAGCCAAAACCACAAATACTGGAACTTCCCAAAGCAGCCTAAGTTGCTTAAAGTGAAACTTCTTACGAGGCCTGGAGACATGGCTGCAGCAAGGAGTATCTTCTGTTGCCTCTTTCGCCTTACATATGAAAATTCTGGATTCTTGCTTATTAAGTGTATAAAATATTTAAGTTGTATAGATAGTATCATGATAGAATATTAGCCAGAGCCCAATTATAATTGAAATTATTTTAAATAGCCATGAGGAAAACATATTTATTGCCTATCTCACTGACTTCAAGGTGAGATATTATTTCACTGAATTTGTCAATTTTGAATAACTGGGTAAATTCAAAATAAAACACATTCTATCACATTCAGGCAGGGCTCTTTTTATCAAAATGTCACAATATTTGCAACAATTTTTAATTTGAGAAGAGATACCCAGAATGCCATAAAGTGGCAATGTTTTATGTGATTCTTGGGGGATGTTTTATAATTGTGTCTTGTTCAGAGGTTAAGTCTCTTGTGTCTTTGGCAAGGAAAGTACCTCTGAACCTCTGGCTGTGTTATTTGACTGAAAACATTTTTAATGAGACAACTGGTTTTAATGTGTAAAGATTATTTAAAAATTATAATTTGCTTACATTACTAAAGCTTTACTTGCCTGAATACGAATTTAAAATCCCAAAGGACTGATCAGAATTATCACCTGCTGTATGCATCCAACTCTCACATTTTCCTGCCCCTGCAGAGAATCTTACACTGGCAACAAAAACCTTCGGAGCTGTCGATGAAGTGTCTAAACCTCAAAAAACATCTGCCAAATAAGCCACTTTTAAAACCTACTAGTTGAATGATTAATTCATTCACTTTATTCAGTTTGGGTTTGTTTTTACTTTGTCAGTACCTCCTACTATTTAACTGTTTTCCAAAAGGAGAACAAGCAATTCAGCTAGCAACCCTCTTCAGCCCAAGCCAGTGTACAGCTCGGCGGTGTACATCCCTTTTTTAAAAAGGACACATTTTAAAAGATGAGTATTGTGAGTATTGATATCACTACTAAAAATAAACACTAAAACCATTAAGAGGTGAATGAACTACAGGCTAAGTATTGTAAGTGAACCAGGCAGCGGCTACTAGTGTATCTGGCAAACGCAGTGGTCCTGGGCCCTTGTTTCATACGTCCTGGATTTGACACTACTTGTTCACGTATTTGCAAATATTTTTGAGTTAATAATCATGCTCATTAAAAAAATCATCTTATTATCTTATTTATATCTTCTTCAACTCTTGGTGATATGATACAACACATTGCAACCAAACATTTATTCACCTAGTGAATAAACACCTATACCATGCCAGACTGTCAGAGAGTCTTCTAGGTACTGGGCATATATAACCATTACCAAGACAAACACGGCCTCTGCTCTCACAAATGTTATTACTTACTATTTCATTATAGGCATCAACTTTTAATATAGTGATTTGCTCTTTTATCTATTCAGTCGATAATTCTGTATTCAGTCATGTTTCTGCAATGTGATAGGCATACAATGATCAAACATCTGTACAAGTAAAAGATGAGTAAAATAACTACATAGACTTTTCTCCAAAGAAGAAATACAAATGCCCAATAAGCATATAAAAAGATGCACAACATCATTAATCATCAGGGAAATGCAAATCAAAGCCATAGTGAGGTGATCCTACACACCAATGAGAATGACTATAATAAAAAGCCAAGACAGTATCAAGTGTCAATAAGGACATGGACAAATTGGAGCCCTCATACACTGCTAGTGGGAATGTAAATTGTGCAACCATGTTCACAAACAGTTTGGCCCTTCCTTAAAATTAGCACGGTGTCATGGCGCACACCTGTGATCCCGGCTACTTGGGAGGCTGAGGGTGGGAGGATCAACTGAGCCTTGGGAGATCAAGGCTGCAGTGAGCTGTGATCAGGTCACTGCATTCCAGCCTGGGCAAGAGAAAGACTCTGTCTCAAAAAGAAACAAATAAATAAAAATTTAAAAAATCCAAGCAATGAAATATTATGGAAAAACTCACAATTACTTTTGCACCAATCTAATATTTGGCCATAGAATGGAATTAAGTATTGATGCATGTACAAATGAAACCTGAAAATGTACAAAGTGACAGAAATCACAAAATATCACATACTGTATGGCTCCTCTTATGTGAAATGTCCAGATCAGGCAAATGAATACAGAAAAATACAGAAATTTCAATTCTAAAACAGACTGTGCTGATGGCTGCCCAACTCTGTGAATATACTAAAAATGACCGACATGTACACTTTGAATGGGTGAATTCTATGGTATGTGAATTTCAACTTGATAAGGATGCTACCAAAAAAATGTAACAATTATCATGAGGTCAAATCACTAACATTTGGGCTTTTATCAATCTATAAGTTACCAAGCTAATACTGTTTCTCAGAGGTTCATGCTTGCCTTTTGAGTATAGTAATGTGTATCACAGGGCGATCTTGTTTGATAAGGACACCTTTCTAAATTAATCTGCCTCTTTTGACTGACAATCTAATCAAACATAACTATAGTAGAGAGCATCATCGAAATTTCTCCTACTGAGTTTCCTCTTTTCAAAGATTTCCAAAATGATCTTACAAGTAGCTTTGAGAAAATCATTGTTAGTGCTATTCACTGTACAGTTCACTGCCACTTCTGTAGACTCACCCTAACTTCAGAATTTGTACGACTGACTTTTAAAAGAACTATTTTTAACTGACACAAAACTGTACATATTTATGGGGCCCCATGAGGTGTTTCAATAC